AAAGAATTTCTGCGTCTGTCTAAATTTGGTGCGTTCAGAGGAAACCGGCGCCGCGAAGGTGGAGTTGGCACCTGCGCTGGAAGTTCGAGCCCCGTCGCTCCGGTCGGCCCGGCCAGAACCGCGCAGGATTTGTATTCACGGCGATGCTCGGTGCGGCACCGTGGGTAAATCACGCGGTCCGTCTCGGTGCCTTAAATAAGCAAATGTAGGGGTCGGTGCATGTTTTGTTCTTGGTGTTTTAAAAGCGGCGATTTATTTATTTTATCCCCACTCTGTGGTTGGGTGTCCACTACGCAGTACTCGGAATCTGTGAAGAGTAAAAGAGGAGAGAGAAAGGGGAATGAATTGCTTCAGTTAAGCGCTTGGCACCGCATTGCAGTTGAATTTGCGTGAGACAAAGTTGTTTTGTTGTGGAACTGAACTGAACCCTCAGCTGGTATACGTAAACACACGCACACAAGGAGAGGTGGGATGCAACTCGGCTGGTAGAAATGCAAACCTCCCAATCGTGGAATTGTGAGTTTAAATCTAGACTCTGCTCCATCATCAGCTTCTTCATCATCATCATCACCATCATCGCCCCTCTAGGCGGTGCCATTTTTTCATATCGGTGACCACGGCTGAATGCCTATTTGAGCACGGGATCACTTCACACTTAGACTTTTGGGATTGAAGTGGCCCTTAATAATTCTGTCTTCGCCAGCGAGACACACGGAGCCGGCGTGGCCGGATGCTGGCGGGAGCGCGCGGGCACTTTGCGTAACCGCGGGACGTTGTGAAACTCGGTGCGGCTGGGGAGCGACTCTCTCACGCCGTGGTCGCGCCGCTCTGCCGGCCGCCCTCACCAGCGCCGTGGCGCGCCCACACCTTGAGAGTGCGTGCCGTGAGCCCAGCTCGGTGACCCACCAAGCAATACATTTGTCGAGCCAGGGACACTGCCTGCACCCAATGAAAGTTTCCCACACTTAAGTAAATAAATACCGCGCATTTCGATTTAAAGCTTTCGTGACTGCAGGGATTCATCTTCTTGGTTCTTTCGGTAAAGTCACGTAGAATGGAAATAATAAAATAATAAAAATAAAACATAATAAAATAATTCTCACGACGTTTCGGCCACAACGCAAGCAGCCGTCCTCAGGTGAAGAACAGGTCTGTCGAGAAGACAGAGTCTGAATGACACACCCCAGGCTTGGAGCGTCTCTTTAAGCTGGGCCGGAGGGGGGGAGAGCGCCCCGACAAAAGAATCCGCATATCAAGAGGAATCCAGCATACCCATGGGAAATGCAGACATGCGACCAGTACCACTCCCGCCCACCTCCTACGCATTTCACGAGTGGTACTGTAGATCATGTGTAGTCTCTTGTGCCTCATTTCTTTGATCACTGGGAACCAGGTTCTGCCAGCCCAGGGACGACCCAGTTCTAGCCCGGAAACGTCACCGATTCCCAGCTCCATGTCCCCCCCATGCTCCATAGAACCGTGAGCTTCCATCGGCTCGACCACCCCCATTCCTTCCTCCCCCAACTCATCCCACTTCCTACTCTCTGGAGTGGAATGTCAAGGAGATATATTGTTTTGAGTTTGATTATTTGAAAAGTGTAACGAAGGCATGGGTTAGTGTAGACTATTTTAAGTGAGTCGTAATTTTTAGACGTACATTTTTAACGCGTAGAGCCGAGACGTTTAAAGAAAACGAGTGATTGCATCGATCTCCTGTATGCCAGGCGAGGGAGTTAACATCTCGCCCCCGCAGATAACGTTGAACATGCTTCACATGGCACTTGTTGCTGCGATGTGATCGGTAGTCTGTGTACAGAACCGCTTGCGTGTAATGCATTTGCTGGGACGCACGCAGACCCCGTGTTTATAATCTGTCAAGTGTTCTCTATGCAACACTCGCTCCTGTGATCTCTTCAGCTCAGGGGGAGGGGAGCGGGTGGAGAAACATGCTTAGGTTTGGTCAGCTTTCTCCTTTATCCTCTTACTGTGTTCTGTAACAGCTTGAAGTTGCGCTTTCATGACCACAAAATGAGCTTCCCAAAAGCTTCCTGCGCTCGTGACATTTGTGATATCCCTCACAGACCGCTCTTTCATTCGCGATATCTATGCCGCTTTGGTGCTAAAAAACTCAGCCCTTTCCCCTACAATAGTGGCTTCCAAATTATTGCCGGACTGCACTGAACAACTTGTGCTTAAAACTCGTTTCTGCTTCTTGCAGCGATGGTTCCGCTGCTTGTATTGTCGTTGAATGGATGATGCTCGTGTGAACTATTTGTTTGACTGTGGATGCGAGCTACCAGGTGACATGCTGATACTTGTTTAAAAGCACCTTACTAGAGTAGCACTGTATTTGTGTGCCTCCAAGTCTTCACATTGATTAATGGTATGGAAATAATCATGGCCTTTATCCAGGAAAGCTTCATTGAGTCTCAAGACACGTATTTATCCGATGCCTGCTTTGGATATTTGCATAATATCTCATTAAGTATATATCACAGTGATCTATTGATCTAAAAAAACCTATTTGCTATGTTTTTATTTAAATGTTTTGACTTACAGGCAAAAATTGTATCGTTAAAATGGTGAAGGTACAATCATCTCGTATCTACTGTGTACGCAGTGTTACGTAACAATTTGTGGTGTCTCAATAATTATTCACAGCCTTTTTGTCAATCCACTGCTGGATGAAGGCCCCCCCCCCCACGCCACGTAGGCCATAGGGGCTATGTGACTGTGTGCATAGCCACGCCGGGCAGTGTGGGTTGGTGAAGGGGTGGTTGAGGACCAGCTGGGAATACATTCGCCACTGATGTTAGCCATGGCAGGGAATCAAACTCGGATGTCTGTGTTTGTTGTGCAACGTGCAATACACTGTACTACTGCTGCACCCCCTTTCACCATGAGGTGCGGGCAAATTGTTTGGTGCTCCCACGATGAGGGCCACACTCTGGTAAAGTAATTGTCTCTTTGGATCTTTGTTGTTTCTGGCATTAGCCGCATCTCGTAATGACCCCCCCGCCCCGCCCTGAGAAGTGCTGTGGAACTCAAAATTAATGTTTTATTTACATTTTGTCTTGCCGATGTTATTCATTCCTTTCGTGATTTAAGAAAATTCCCCTCTGGTCACTTTTTGTTCCAGGCTAAACTTCCTTAGCCTTCTTTGTATTTTTCACCACAAACCTTGTCCTGAAAATCCGAGAAATATTTTATTTTCCCGCTTGCTGAGCTCGCACTCGATTCGCGATGGTGGCTCGGTACGGACGTGGGGGAAAAAAAGTTTGAATTGAAAATATGCTCCTGTATTCGCTCGGACCCTATCATGGTAGAGTTATGGCCAGGGGTTCAGATAGGGACTACAACGATGCCTTAACTGAAAGTCTCTGAATACAGTATCTCATGATGACTGATGTCAATTTAAATCAAGTTCTTTGAGGGTTAGAAAGCTAACATTTTGTATAATCATGGCACAGTTGATTGCTATTATATCTGGAAAATGCAAAGCCATTAATTACAAATGTGGGTACCCCAGAATTAAAGGACAGCATATTGTGTATGCTGGGTTCGACGCCTTGTCCTGTGAAGGTTTGTATTTGTAAGTTTTGATGGGTACTGAACCCCAAATGTTAAAATCCTAGTTTTTTTCAGAACTCAATATTTTGGGTACTTTTTGAATAGTGTGACACTGACGTAGATAATAATGGATCATTAAATATTGAAACTTTCGTTTTGTTGTTTTTTTATGGAGCCTGCTTGTGGGGCCACGTATGAGCGTCCACCCTCTCCCAGTCTCTGTGTGCGGAATAGCAATTGGGATGGCGGAGGCTGTGCGCTGCTTGGCAGTTGAAGGCGCCGGCGTGCGCTGTAGCGGCGGCACTTGGCAGAGGTTCGCCACCCCAGCTCGTGGCCCCCGCTGCATCGTCGTCGTCCCCCACGGGAGACACGGAATCAGAAATATGCTTTTTTACACATTCGTGGTATTCGCTGCAGAATATTAATAACAAGTGGCTTTGCCTTTTTGGTATTTACCATAATTTATCGACGTGCACCACAATGAGAATTTTGAGCACAGTTTCACAACGTGTACAAGTTTCTTCATTGCGCCAAATAAAAAAGGTCAAACTGTTTCCCGGCTCGAACGGTGATGGGGGCGGTGTTCATTTGTGTTGGTGGCCCAGAGCCAGTGGTGGAAATTCTCTTGTGCTATTCGGGTGGGGACCGGGCAAATGATGTTGACTTCCCACGGTGGCATTCACCCGAGGGTGGATAAAAAGGCATTTCGTCCTAGTACGTCCAACACCGCGGTATTTTCTGAGAATATGTCCCTTGTCGAGAACGGTGGGCAAATGATTTCTGTCTGAATTCAAGTCCTGATTGGTTGACATACTGACGCTTGAGTAAAAAGCCACGTTATGATTACACTAATGATGACCCTCATCCTGCCGCTACTTGTGCTAGAACTCGGGGTTATTTCTCCAGACAGGTAGCTCTGATGCCGTCTCTGGAAAGCGTCACGAGCTGCCCGAGATAAACATCGCCCTGGGTGGGTGGTGCTCTTTCTCCCGGGGAAGAGCGCTGGTGACATTGGCAGTGGAGCAGAATTAGCTGGACTGCACGGTGGGCTTGAGTCAAGAGTCGTGTGTCCCTTTCCACGTTCTGTTTTGTCACCGGTGTACATCGTCGATAGTGTGGGGAGCAGCGGTGGGGAGCTCGTACTGAGCGCATGGAGCTATGATCCCGGTCGACCTGGGTTCGATTTTTGACCGTGCACGACATCGGCGGACTTAGATGTGGCACAGGCTTCCATTTGGTTGTCAAAATCTAAAGTGAGTACCCGATGCTTCGACATGCTTACGTATTGGCAATGCGGTAACAAAGGCTGACGGGTATGTGTGGTGCCTGCCAAACCTCCCCTCGTGTACCATACCGGCCTGAACTGGTGGGCCATCCTCAAAAGGCATGCAGGCTAAACGCTGGGTTCTTGTGCGTTTGTGTCACCGCAGGCCAGAAATGTCCAAACAGGAGAGCTGGTGGCCATCAAAATCATCAAACTGGAGCCCGGTGAGCATAGCATCCCAGTACACACAGTGAGGGTCACAGCGGGGCCTTCATCAGTGTTGGGGATGCGGTTTGCCTTGCTCGGTATTTTGAGTCACAAGCGGCATCGCAGGTTAACGGCTCGGCTTACAATTTAATCGGAGCCCGCACTACACGCAACACTACACAGCCTTTGATGAATAATTAACGTGAGACACTGGTTTTTTTTTCTTCCCAAGAGTTTCGAGCATGCGTTTCCCTCCTCGCCGTTAAACGATACCACAGTGGCCGTGGGTGTTCTGCACGTGTGGTGTGAGCGATGCTGTATCGGCGTTCCCGAGGCAATTATTCCCCCCGCCCCCACCATGTGTGCCCGGACGTCCCCGTGTGTCTCAGGAGATGATTTCTCGGTGATCCAGCAAGAGATTGTGATGATGAAGGAGTGCAAGCACGCCAACATCGTCGCCTACTACGGCAGCTACCTGCGGTGTGTGGCACTCAACTCCTTGCTCGCTCTCGCTCGCTCACTCGCTCAATGACACGCTTGCTCACCAATGCACTCACACACTCATTAACACATTCATCCACTCGCTCGCTCAGTTATTCATCTACGGACATGATCACCCACTTTCACGATGACTTGTCAATGTTTCACTCGCTCACGAACTTGCTCGAAATGTGAAAAGAAACCAATACGCTATTATATACGGCATGAACGCGTATAGCCCGACCCTTGCTGCTGTATTCTCGATGTTATAAGATGGAGACACAAACATACCGGAGGGTGAGGCGCAGCCCCAAACATGTGCTTTAAAATACAGGGCGGAAAAAGTGCGTCTCATAATCTGGAGAAATCTGTTATTGTCTAAAAGTAAGAGGACAAATAATTGCAACAACTTAAAATAAGGATACTCGATTGCAATTCTAATTGTACACGATAATTACTGTACACATTAAAGTCAGTAAACAGGCAAGAGCCAACATAATAATGGCCTGGGAACCAATGTAGGTCATGAAATCTTGCACTCACCTGTAATGCACTCACCTGTGAGAGTGCAAGCGTTCTTCACGTTCTCTAGCCACCGTGACCCCACGAGGCAGCTTGTACGCAGCGTGGCAGAGGCGCGACGTCCCAGCGATGCGCGTTAAATACGCGCGACGGGAAGCATAATTCATCCGCAGCCGCACTTTCACGCCGAGTTGGCGGCGTTATGCACGCGTGCGCGCACTCAACACGGCCGCCCTTGTGTGGGGGCGGCCGTGTTACGCTTCGCGTGTATCTGGCCGTCTCCGGTCCCTGTCAGGTGGGTGCGTGGGACGGGAATTCTGGAATTTCCCAGGAGACGAGGGAATTGTTCATGAGGAAAGGGGAAAGGAGGGAGGGCATTAAGATTGTAGATAGGAGAGGGGTGGACGTCGAGCAGGTCACTAGTTAAGTATTTACGTGGGGTGGTAAGTGAGGTAGGAGGATGCGATCGCATAAATGGAGAGAAGATTCCGGGCATTGTGATGGAGAGATGCCAGTCGAACTGAAAGGGAGGTTATTTAGAGCAGTGGTAGGAGCGGTGCGGTGACGCGCTGCAGAGGCATGGGCATACGGGAAGACTAATGAAAGATACTTAACAGGACAGAGACGAGAATGCCGAGGTGCATGTTGGGAATGTATCTTTGGGAAACGACGTGGAATGAAGACCTTAGAGGCTTAGCAGATGTTTATAATATTTTCAAAAAGGTAAGGAAGATGGTTTCGGAATGTCACTCTGCTGGGTAGAGATACCAAAAGCCCTGCATTTGCAGTGATTTATTTGAGCTTACATACAATATGACATCATTTACATTCATGGATTAAGTTTTTGCATTCATGTAATGACCCAAAAATGAGAATTCTTGTTGCCTAAATCGCTTACAAAATGTACCAATAGTGGCTCCTTGTGCAGTGGCCGTGGTGAGGGATCCCCATTGTGAGTGGGGGATGCTTCACGCTCGGGCCAAACCGCCCCAAGGCAGCATCTGGCATGCGGGCGACGACACGGGACGGGGACTCGGGAATAACCTGTGGCCAGATGAAGCGGTGTGTGGGTGGTTCGTGTGACTTATCCCGGCAGACAGGAGCTCGCATGCACGTGTTCACTTTGTGTGCGTGTGTCTGTGCCTGCAGGCATGACAAGCTTTGGATTTGCATGGAGCACTGCGGAGGAGGGTCCCTCCAGGATATTTATCACGGTAAGGAAGATGGAGAGAGAGAGAGTGAGAGAGAGAGCGATGCGGCACTGTGCGCTCTCAGCTGCGTCTTCGCCGGCCGCTCATACCCCTGCGGTGTCGCGTTTGCGACGGTGAACAAATCTGTACGCTACGCTAATTACAGTGGCGCAGGGAGGAACACGGCATGCTGGATAGTCCCTGCAAACACTCAGCACGCCCTCTCCACCGCCCTGTCGTTTGAGGAATTATCATCATTCAAGGTCATCCACACCTACGATTAAAATGGTTGACTACGTGCAGCGCGAAAGAAGTTCAACACACATACATACGTACATCCTCAATGTAAATGTATGCACGCAATTTGAAAATAATGTACAAACATCAGTAATGATCTTTCTATTTAGACACATGATATGCTGTAAGTTAAAATTGTTCGGTAGAATAGTTTCGAATTGATTCAAGTCAATAAATAGATCAATTATATGCCTTGCGATTAGTTGATGGTTAATTGTGTAATGTTGTGAAATTCATTTGCATGTACTCAGCCATATGGACCTGTCAAACGATAAAAGTCCAAAGCAACACTAGCTATGTGTATTTTATTTTATATTTTACCATAATAACATGTAATTCACAACTCCAAGGGACATATAAGTAAGTCACTGGTTACCTGTACATTTTACAGACATGAAATATGAAAGTTTACATTGTTAAATTACTCTTGCCATGTTTCTAAACAGCTGATGTGGGTGAGGTTCCTGAGCCCAGGGGTCAGTTGCAAAAACACCTTGAAGCCTTTTTCCTGTAGCTTTCATTGCTTTAAATAACAAATGGTACATTCGACTTGAAATAATATGCAACCCGAAAATACAAATCGATAAACACACACAGCTGGGCTGTCTCACACAAGTTTGAAGCTTTGTCAATTAAACAATAATGTTAGCCGCGGTCAAGTCATTATTCTAATGATCGCACTGCACCGTTGTTCTATCAATATGTATGGAGTAACATCCCAGTAACATCATCGGAGTGCAATAAGGGAGTGTATAACCCTGACGTTGAAGCATTTTATTGCTTATTGATGCAGTTGCAAAGTGGTATCAGACACCCAGGGACACACAGCCTAGGTCAGTATCTACGATATAGGAGATTATTTATTTGGGTCACGGCTTCCTTTAAGCCGTTTTATGTAACCGGCTGCAGTACCTCACTGGAGTCGGCCCGGTGCCGAGGCATGTGGCATGAGCCCCCTAAGTCGCGCGTCGTGGACGTCCTCTGACGGTGTTTTGTACCGCGTCTGTCGCAGTGACGGGGCCCCTGACGGAGCGGCAGATCGCGTACGTGACCCGGGAGACGCTCCAGGTGGGTGCCGCGTGATGGTCAGCCATGGATGCGGGGAGGGCCGCGCCAGTGGCGTGGCGAGGTTGGCATGAGCCCCAATGCAAGCGATGAACAAGGACTTGTCCCATTGTCCTCCCGCTCTTTGTCCGTCGGGCCGATGGGCGCCACGGTGACTAGGAGATGTTAACTTCCTTGCCTGGTATACAGGAGGTCGTGGGTTCGATCCTGACCCTGACGCCTGTATATTTGAACTTTGCATATCTCTCTCCCCGTGGTCACATGGATTTTTATCTGGGTCCTCCGGTTTTTCCCACCACATTTAGAAACTTGCGTTTAGAGTATTTGGCTGCTCTAAATTTCCACGTGATAAGCCAATTCGTTGATCAGGTGGATTCTGAAAAAATGCGATCATAGCTCAGTGGGCCTTACCTGGTAAAATAAAAATATCTTAGTTTTTAGATGGCGATGCCACCGGATCGCAGGGCCCACGTTCTCGTTCATCGTGACCACGCAATCCACTGAACAGAACCTCGAAGCCTCCTCGTCACAACGCAGACGATGGGATTGAGATGTAGTCGCAATATGTGATCAATGAATAACTCATTGAATTGTAAATTTAAACTCCGAGTGGATTATTGGTGCTGACGGGAGAGAAATACGTTTTTACATTTTACATTTTCTCTGTAGTGACATGACAAAAAGCCCATTCTGTAGTTGTATGTTATTCTTTGTGCAATTCATCGACTAGGCTGGATTAAAATAAAAGCAGACACACGTAGAAATGTAATTTTTCAAACAAATTAATCTTAAATATGAACGTAGAAAAACAAGGTGGTCATGCAGAAAAATGCCCTGAAACATAGCATGAAGTAAAGAACACAATATTCTTTATATATTTAGGGCTCCTTCAGCAGAGTTCGGCACCAGGATATGCGGCCAACTCCGTGATGAGTAGGCGTGTAACGAGTCATTGAGTAAACTCAACTCTTACGCTAACGATGCATGCCTCCATCCGTGCATGTAAAACATCTATTATTTAAGACTCGTGCAAGTCATGTGCATTTTATATCGATGTATTTGTGTTAGCTCAGAGCGTGAGCAAGACGGAAGAAGCCATGCAGCTAATATAAACTCGACAGTGCAAGTGACAAAATAAGAATTAATAATGAAATAAACATGATTCTCGATTCAAATCATTGCTCCAAATTATGACAATGCATTGAATCCCATCGACGGGGAGTGCATCTGATATATGCCTCTTAATGGGCACGCACAAGCAGACCTTACAATACGTTTGTATTGATGCATACGTGGTATGAGGGATACCCAAAGTACACCCACACATGAAGGAACGACAATAATGTAATTCAATATTAGCATAGGTCAGCAACTTAGTCTCTGTATTGCACCTGCGACATATATAATGTAACGACGTTGACCGTGGTTATGTAGCTCGTGACCTCCGAAGGTGAGGGTCTCTCCGCTGTCTGCATTCGTTCGAGGCCGTGCGGTGGCGGGCGGCATTGGGGGGTGAGGGATGGCAGTGTGGTGAGGCTGGGTGGCGGTGGTGGGGGTGGTGCATAGGCAGGAGGTCTTGCTGGCGCTCAGCGGCGATGGGGGTAGCGTGCTCGCCGAGTCGTGTAATTCGGATGGCGGACGCCCACGTGGGAGACGAGCGTGCACGCAGGCACGCGCACGCTCGTGGGCCAGACGTCTCACGCGCTCACAGTCAAGTTAGTTTACATGCCGTGATGCCGCTGCTACCGCCTGCGTGCGTGCGTGCCACGTGCGTGCATGCTCCTCCCCGAGGTTGCCGGATGGATCAGGGAGCTAATACCGGGTCTGAGTGCTGAGCCGCTACCTCCACCGAGATATTGGGTTTGACCCCCGTGGTTTGGCTGGGTTGACGATGTTGGCCAAATCACCAACAGCTACACATAAACAAACGGATTAGAAAATGTGGTTCTCAGTTCACAAAATAATATACAAAAAATTATTAACATGTGCCAAAACAACTTTGTAGGGCGCATGATAGGCGTGCTATTGTGGGTCTAATATGCCGATTGAATCACATTTATCATCATCGCATGTAATTTTACATAAAATTACTACAACAATAATATAAATCTAAATGTACAAACTTAATCAATCTACTGGCTGATGAAAGCCACCCGACACCATGTCAACCATGGGGGGGGGGGGGTTGTTTGACTAGACTTCGCCATGCCGGTCATTGAGGGTTGGTGAAGGGTGAACCCCGGAATTGATTTAAATATCACTCGCCACTGATGTTAGCCGTGGCCAGGAACGACACCCCGGGCCCCTGGGATCGCAGCGCAGCTCCCGTGGCATTGTTTTGTAGCCGCGGGCATCGTGCCACGTGTGGCAGCGTGAGCTACAGCCGTCGCCGCACACTCCGCCTAAAGGCACAGCCTCGACCTGCTTCAGGGGCCGTGCGCATTAACACAGGTGGCCATTTATCATTTCATACACCACGGCATTTCTTTTGGTTCATGTTTTGTTTTGTTGTTATTGGCGATGAAGATAAACAAGCTGTTGAAATAATAAGTTGTTGATTTTCCCCGAAGGCTTCAGTCTTCTTTTTGTGTATGTAAATCTGAGTGTATCAGACACCAAAAACAAACTATGAAATGCGGCAAAAGCGGCCTCGCGGCGTTTCACGATGCACGTCCACGACCCGGTCGCTGAAGGTTAGCATCGTTACAAATGTCGACTCTCGTGTGACGGTTTTCTTGCAGGGCTTGGCCTACTTGCACAGCGAGGGGAAGATGCACAGAGATATCAAGGTGAGATCTTCTAAATCTCTCAACCCCACGCCCTTCTTACGTGGATGTACGGATCGGGGGGATGGTATGGGGATGGTATGGTGCTGTCGATATGGTGCTGCGGAAAGGGGATGTTAATGCTATTATGTCGTGGCAATTAAACGGATGCCTTCGGCATTCATTCATCATTGGCTCGCCTCATGACAACTCTGTTATGACAATTGGGCAGTGTACTCAAACATACTGCTGCCGATCAAAGTGGAATTTGGAGCTCTCAAGGCGAGATCGTGTACGTGATGATGGACGTGCCATAACCACGTATGGGAGAAAGGGGACGGACACCATTGAGGTTAGGATTATGGGTTTGAGAGCAACATTATTTGTAAATGTTTATCCCACGGGGTTGTGACCCACAGCTTGAGGACTGCTGCTGTAAGTGACCCTGCGGGCGGCGCTGTGTCGCAGCGCTCAACTCGCGTGCGGTCGGAAGGTCACGAGTTCAAATCCCCGTTGAGGATTAACTCAGTTTATCGCCATCCTTCCTTTTCGGTTGATGAAACAAGCACCTCCTTGTTGTAAGTTAGTGGTGGCTCTCCGATGGAGAGACCGGCCCCTGCTATAGGAATATGGAATCTTCGGTCTGGCTCAGCATTCCACCAAATGTTGACAAACGCTGCCCAATGCTCGTGTGGAGCCGGCTGTTGCGTGGGTTGTATCGGTTCTTCTCGTGGTGTTGACGTGTAGAGGCAATTGTAAATCGTTGCACAAAGTGCTTTGTGTCGTTCCCGTGTGGCACCGACACCGCACTGTGCGCGGGACATTGCATCTGCCCCACTAGTGCTGCCAGCGCATGTCAGCTGCGCGGACGGAGGGATTTCCTCAGTCCATGAATTAACTTCAGATTGCCCAGCCCGCATTTGTACACCCGTTCGCCAGCATCGCTTGGACCCAGCGTGCGCAATTCGTATGATGGAAAGGTTTCGATGTATTTTGCCAGCCTTAAGGCTTCAAAGGGTTTTGAGTATTTTACGTAATCCACTAAAGACGTGCACGCCTATGTGGCTTCATGGAAACTCCCACAGGTGATGGAATTCACGTGTACTAATGGTAACACTAGTCCCTTGTCAAATAAAGGTTTTAACGAATCTCAGTACATGACGTCGCCGTTGCCATGCATGAATCAATAGAGGCTGCTGGGTTTATGCGAGTCAACGATACATGTAACACAATATTAATGACGTCTCTTTGTCGAGCCAATCCCATGTTGGTCATCGGGGATTGTTTGACCTTACTTTACCATGACGGTAGTTCTGGGTTTGCGAAGGGGTGGGCGCAGGACCGGCACAAGTTGCCACCGATGTTAGCCGTGGCCGAAAATTTAATTCAGGTCACCGGGTTTGCAGCGCAGCGCGTGCAGCACCAGTGCATCTCCACCCCACCAGTGCAGCGCATACAAATAGCAAGGGATAATAGGTTGTTACGGCACCATCCGCACCTATGTTGTCAGTGTAGGAATCCGTTTATGAATGCATTGTTACAGACTTATTTGTATTTTTGTCTGGGATGAGAAACCCAGAGGAATCCCACCTGTGCTTATAAGGAGATAACGCTCAACAATATGCTTAACCTACTTTCTGCACAGTGACAATTATACCCCGTGACCTCTGAACGTCCTTCAGCAACTAAAGTTAGTGATCGAAGGAAGCCCACTCTCAAAGATCTGCACGAATATGTCAGACGCCTACTTGCCGCACTGCCTCCTGCAGGGCACTTTGTAACCCTACAGGCCGGGGGTGTGGCGATGCTACGCCCAGACAACGACGAGATGTGACGCGACGCCTCCCTCTCCACCCCCCACCCACTCCCGCATTTCCCTGCAGGGGGCGAACATTCTGCTCACGGACGACGGAGACGTGAAGCTGGGTACGGGCACACACGCTGGCGCCAAATGCAATGTCTGGGGCTGCGTGGGCTGCGGCATGGAGGCACTGACTGCAACGGGGGATAAAAAAAAATCAACAACGCCAACAACGCTTTACCGCTCACGCCTTCGTGAGCAGAACCTGTTCAGCGAACACGGCGGCTGGGCGTGCCGTGAGCGAGCACCGCTCTTGGCTAAAAGACAACAACGTTGTGGAGAAACCCAAAACGTTAATTAACACGCCGCGTTGCCGATGAGACTCGCGGAAGTCGAAAGCCAGCTCGGAGCATGCCCGCTGAAACTAATGCACCGGGGAGACATAGGCCCAGAACTGATTTCACCTGGTGAAACATAGCCTTGTTGGTGTGCTTATAGCTTCATAGAGCATGACGGAGCGCCATCTCGACTGACGTCGTCTTCCAGTACAATTCCCCGATAGCGTGATGCTCTGATGACTGATATATATGCCTATCCATTGTGTGATTTTGATATGGGGAACACCCTGCATTAGACTATTATAAATGGGTGAGTGAATAAGCAGTGATAAGTCCAATAAGCGTAATTGTTGTGTAGAAAGTCATTGTTATTCTTGCAATTTTGACTCCAGTATTAAGTACATATCGTATGCTTTCCAACGACTCCTCGTTCAGATAAATTATTGTAGGAACTCTCGGTTTTAAGGCTTCTTATTGAGCCGAGGTTTTGATGGTAAAGTTATTCTCATCCAGCACTGGAGGTTGATTTGTTTATGGGCGCTCGTTTTCTGGTTGCGTTTCTTGTCGCCGGGGCTTGCTCCTTGCTGCTTTAATGCCCTCGCCTGTGTGTGCCGTGCTTGCGGATCTCCAGCCGACTTTGGGGTCTCCGCTCAGATAACGGCTACGATCGCCAAAAGGAAGTCCTTCATCGGCACCCCTTACTGGTAAATGATGCATTCCTACACGCACGTCGCGAGTAGCTCGAAACCGTCCATCGATTACGTCGACGGATCGACGACTCGATTCGCAATCGGCCACTTTGCAGTCGATTGCTCGGGCTCCTTGAAAATCGGCCACCACAAAAAAGTGGCGAGTGGTGGAAATTACTCATTCCTGCGGTGGGAACCAGTCTTGATTCGTCAGACAACAACTGTTAATTTTGCACAAAGTGGTGCTAATTTTATCAAGTCCGGAGGCGTTGATGGGCCGAGTCTTCCTCCTGACTGGGAATCAAATTCACAACCAATTACGCTGAGAGATTACGAGAAGTATTCCGTTTGCCTTCAGGCGGTTCCGCAGATGTTACAGGGAGTGGTTTGCAGGCTTTCCTGGGATTTCTAGTTTGCAAGAGTATCACTTTTGTTTTCAAAGGATAATGCAGCCTTTCTTCAGGGTGAGTTTAAAATGACCATTTTGCAGAGTCAGTAGTGAGCATCAATGGATTTTTTGGTGCCTTCAATATGAATTTGTAATTTTTCCCGTGGGCTACCAATAGAGATCAGCGTCCACCACCTATGCTCATTCGAAAAGAGAGTCGCAGTCAGACGCAGCTTGTCCCATGTTAATTATCATCAGCCATTGTCTATCCACTGCTGGACTCCCCCTGCCACCACCATCAACTACGGTCCAGTGCGGCTACCTTCCATCCCACCCCTGCGCACGAACTGATCCCATCGCTCCATCTCCACGGCGGACATCCTCTGGGACACGTTTTCGTTTGCCACCTTTCCATCACCGCCCTCGCCCGTCGGCCTTCATCTCTCATCGCGATGCGTTCTGCCCACGCTCGTGTACTGTTAGTCCTTTGTCAGTGTGACATGTGTCCGATTTTTGTTTCTTTGAGCCGTGCGTTCCTGTGTTTGTTCCTTTGTCCCCTCGGCGTAAGTCCAAGTTTGCGTCTCTCCATGCCTCTTTGTGCACCTTTCAGTTCTTGTCACACACAATGAGAGTTCTCTTTCCTTTAGCCTGCCTCTGTCCGCCTGGCGGCTCAGCCCAAAAGGCAACGGTTGAAGGTCAGGGTCGCTGTGACCGCGTTCGGATGTTGTGGGGGACTCGGACGCTGCGGGGGACTCAGGGGGCAGCGTGGGAGCTTGCCGGACGACCGTCGCCCCCGGCGATGGATCCTGCGGGCGTACGCGCGCTACTCAACTGAGGGGCCCCAGATCGGCCCCGTCTGTTGCAAATGCTAAGCGGGGGGCTGCGACGGGGCCCGGGTGCTCGCGCCGTACGTGCGTCTGTCCTGGCCTGCGGCAGAGAAAGCGGACGTCGTTAATCATCATGCCGCCGCTCCCACCGTTACCACGGTGCCGTGGCTTCTGCGGTTTCCTCTTATTACAAAAACTCAATAAAGAATTGGTTTAACATCCCAAGCAGGACCCTGCAGGAAAGGAATCCTGAGACTCCTCGAGGATTTTCAGATTACAGAAAGATTCAAGTCAAAATATATTTGTGCTCAAATGCACGTTGAGTGGCACATTGCTGTTTGGCAGCCCCTGAGTCAGTCATGGAAATTCCACATGACTATGGTGGGGGGCAGTCTCTTCATGGAGGGCAACGTCTGTTGACATTAGCGATGTGTCACAGCATCGTGAGATGCAGTTGTGTTCAGACTGTCTTGTATATCGTAATTTATAAACATCATTACTAGTCAACAGGCAGATTAGTTAATTTTCCCAAAAGATAAAAAAGCAAAACAGTTTACGCCATCGTCAATGGCTGCGGCAAAAGACATGTGAATGCGGCTGCAGTGCTGGGGTTGCTCGGGGGCCTGTGAACGACACAGCGAGCGCCGGCGGGCCGATAGGCCGGTCGGCGGTTGACACCGCCAAACGGCACGATGAATAAGCGCTTATGAATAAGTAACGCATAACGCGTGCGTTTTGTCAGCGGACGTCGATGGTATTCGATCTGGCTTCGCGGGGCCTTGGTGCTTGGGGACGGAGGGCGCGTCGATGCGACGCAGGTGGGCGGCTCGCCTCGACGGGCGCGACGCGCCGCGCGCACCTCTCTCGTGTTGCGTGGACAGACAACGTGGCTGCTTCATGTGTCCCTATGGCGCTGATGAAGGCAGTTCGATAAATGTTGAGGTCTTAATATTTAGGCAGATAACGAGTCATTGGTGAAAATCAATTATTGCGCACACCACACACGTGCAAGAATCAATTATTAATGTTTTGTGTAAATTGTCTCCGCTATTTTTAGGCCAATGAAACATACAAGACAATAAATGAGAAAGACAATCCTCTGGGTTTCTCATCCCAGACAATTGCTGAAGCAGCAGCAATTTAATATCCATGTAAATATGTACACGTGTGTTTTTGTTCCCAGCTTATTGATTATTTCACCTGGTGATGAGGTTTGGCATGGTGTGGTGTTGTTGCGATGGTATGGTTTGATGTGGTGTGTTTATGTGGTGCCGTTGTGATGTGGTGGTTTGGAGTGGTGGGGTGTTGTGGTGTGATTAAGGTGGGATGGTATTGTAATATGATGATGGCTTTGGGAGGCCCTCATCGAGCAGTGAATTGGTCATGGCTGATGATTATAGTGTAATGTGGTAGTTAGGCATGGTGCATTGTCGTTATGGTGTTTTAGATTGGTATGGTGTGCAGTGTTACGGTTGTGGTGGCTTGCAGTGGTTTGGTGTTGTTGGAGTATAGTTGTGCTGTGGTATTTTGATGTGAGGCATGGTACATTACTGCTATGATGTTTTGCCATGGTATGGTGTTGTTGTGGCACGACGTTTGCGCGACGCCTTGTTGCGGTGGCGTGATGCGACGCGGTGTGACAGCGGTGCCGCAGTGTTGGCGCGATGTTCCGTGGTCTGACTCGATGTGGCATCTGTGTGGCGCGGTGCGCGCCAGGATGGCTCCGGAGGTGGCGGCGGTGGAGAGGAAGGGCGGCTACAACCACCAGTGCGACGTGTGGGCCGTGGGCATCACCGCCATCGAGCTGGCTGAGCTGCAGCCGCCCATGTTCGACCTGCACCCCATGAGGTGCCCCCACCACTGCCGCCGCTCACACGAGTGCAGTGCCAGCCTTTAAAGGGAAGGCGCATGACCGCTCTTATTTGACAAAATCTTTCTGCAAAAGGTGTTGTGAAATAGTTTTAGTTAACGGTACGTCGAATAACACGTTTTTCGAATTAAGTTTGGTGTTGGGTATATACACCCCGCTCCACCGTATGCTGTGCCACCTTAATAGGTGCTTGCTGATGACATTTTACCCTACAAATCTATGAGACTGGAAATTAGATGTTTGTTCTTGTGTGCATGTGTACATTTTTCCAGGGCTCTCTTCTTGATGTCTAAGAGTGGCTTCCAGCCGCCCAAACTCAGGGACAAGCAGAAGTGGTACGTGCTGGGATTGCTGTGCCGTCTGGAATTTTTTTACTTTCATTAATATTATTTGTTCGTATTCAAATTGGTTTGAAAAGTTTGTCATGAGGCGGGTGTGGGCCGGAGTTTGTCGACAATGTTTTACTACTGGTCCCAGTGTATCTGGGAGAACAATTGTCACTTTACTCTGCATGCAGCACACCTCCATCTGTTGTATTATCCGTTAATTTCTATTATGCAACAAAAAAAAAGTTTTTCATCGTCACGACGATCACGCGATGACACTGCAAGCTCCTGGAGAGGCGGCACACATCGTCATCACTCCGCAAATAAACATCCGCGACAGCACGGGCTCTCACGTGGTGACATCAGCGGTCGTTGTCTTGAAACTAGCAGTGGATAGAGAATGAATGATCACGATAGTGATGAATGTATACTGTATGTAATATACGTAAAACTGGCTCAGAGTCCTGAAGTCAGTTTTATCAAGGGAGACCCAGGTTTTAATAAGTTCACCAAAATGGCAAACTACTTCATCGTGTAAACATCGCAATGGCGAACACACCATTTGTGAAAACAAGTCATATCACAATAATAAATAATAATAAATACATTAAGGCATTGTTAAACGTTTAGTATTAAGTGACATATATATAACTGGGAAGTAGCGATGCAGCTTTTGTGGTGAGTCTTTGTCGTAAGTGCAGTGCCGCTGCCTCTTCGTCACGGTTTCTGGAGGGCGGCTGCTAAAATTAGAACTTGGATCGTCCAGGCTGCCAAATGACAGCGCTGAGGGCCTCGTTTCGCTTGGGCTCGAGCATGGCTGGGATTTTTGTGGAGATGGGTCAGAGAGTCCGACCGTTGCCTCTGGTGCAGCATCTCAGAAGCTCCAATGTTCCCGTCGTCGACCGCTAAACCTCTTTACCGACGGCGTAACCCTTCGGCCAAACAGTAAAGACGTTAACAACCATTAACACCCTTTACTGGACAACTTTGATTGACCAATAAATACCTTTCACAGGGACATTCGTTTATCTCTGTAGCCTAGCTTGAGAAAGAGTTTACAGTGTAGTGAGTCAAGACGTTGCGAGTCAAGACGTTGAGCTCAAGAAACAGTGTCATTTTGACTTAAAGCTTTCGTGATTGCAGGAATTCATATTCTTTGGGTCTTTCGGTAAAGTCACGTAGATAGGTTCAAATACAATCATTTGAACCTATCTATGTGACTTTACCGAAAGACCCAAAGAATAGTCAGTGTAATGCCAATGTAATGTGAGCATATATAAAGTGGCACACGAAGCTTTCTAAACAATTAAACTGTACATTAATAATGTATAATATTTATATATTCATTACATTCTTGAATTAATATGAACTTATACGATTGTATAGGTACAACATGCAATATGCAAACCCTACGTAAATTTGTTGTTCACAATTTCGAACTGAGCTCGAAAGGCATCTGAGATGCCGGTGCTCATTCTGGTGAGAGGCAGAACCTCGTGCCTCTCGGCGCAAAGGACAAAGCGAGATGTCGTTTCACCGTGACTCGTGCCGCGTTTCCACCTCCATTGAAAATCAGACCTGAGCCTGCCCACGCTGTCCCACGAACGTCTCACGAACGTCCCACTCACAGCTTGGCGCAGCTCATCATCTCTCCCTTCCCTCCACGGCCAAAGAGATGCGAGATTTAACTTATGCTTGGGTTAGATTACGCTATCCTAAGCAGACATTTGTATTTGTAATTTTCTCCCAGTGTTTTTTTTTTACAACACCACAGCCCTTGAAAGTTGACCTAAGCGAGAGACGCCGTTGACCGTGCCTCTGCCTTCTGCGCTGACCCAGTGACATCGTGAATGTTTCCGAGGGCAATCCACTGAAAGCTTGGAGCTCCCTTTCGGAATGCGAGCCGGTTGGTTCCATATACGAGCCACGCAGTCTGCTTACAGCTCCCTTGGCGGGTTGCTGTGGAAAATCTGGGCCAAGCCAACTTTCCCAGTTCACAAAGCAAGCCAGCTCACTTTGTGGCAGTTGTGGGAACGCGGCATCTTGGTAGTTAACCACTCCTTCTTGATTAACCTCGCCTTGTCGTTTGTGCTCGATCTGTTCTACCTCCCTCAGGTCGCCCGTCTTCCACAACTTCATCAAGATGGCGCTAACCAAGAACCCCAAGAAGAGGCCCACGGCGGAGAAGATGCTGACGGTAAGATCGGCGCGCCGAGGCACCGCAGCGAACGCCCGTGCCGTTATGGCAAACGCCGGTGTGTTTTTTGCGTGCTGGGTCCATGCTACAGAGGGCCGCATGGGCAGGCAGATCGCAGGGTACCGTGGTAACTAATAGTTAATGCTACATGTCGTTCAAGAAGAGTGTTTTTTATGTTCAGTATGTACTGCCTCATTTGCATATGCAATATCTAAATGCATTATGCGTTTGGTTTGCATAAATAATTCGTACCCAGAGCGTGATTCGATGCGTGTATTTTGAGTGCAAGAATCAATTTAAGTCACGATTGTATGCATGGTTACACGCCTCGTATTCAGGGTGAATGTTGATATACAGGGCACGGTCTGCTGTGCCACACCTCCAATTATCACGGTTGGCTACGTACGGTGCGAAAGAACTTCCATCATAAATACATACAGGTGGATATGCATGTATGTATACAGTATTGACAGTGAATGCTTGTGTGGTGGCCGGGTCGCACAGAGGTCAGGGTGATGAGCCGCCTGTGATTAAACTCGCTTCTCGAGTGTAGTGAGCAGACGGTCTCTGCTTGGTCACCAGTGACGGCACTAAAATCCCATCTGATTGCATCTGGTTATTTTCGCCAAATTTCAAAAATATCAGTTTGACTTCTCACGCTTTGCATATCACTCTGCGTAACGGGGCGGGGAAGAAAGTGCCGCCCCCTACTGCGTGGACCCAAACTCAGTTGAAGCTATATCTGTGATATCTGCCTCTGTGAGATTTCTTAATTAAGTTTTCGTCTCGCGACATGACGCCGAGAGCACAAGCGAGAATAAAACTGGGGGGAAAAATTCCACACGTTCACAGAGTGAAAACGCGTAAATGAACCGAGCTCCTTGTGGTGTGCGCGGTGCGGGTAACGCGCGCGGCAGCACTCGTACGTCCAGCAGCCACTGAGCCGGGCACAGGCGTTGGAGTTGCTGGAGCGCGTGAGCGACCCCGAGCCGCCCACTGCGGCCCCCGACCCCGACCTCGATGACGATGAGGTCAGCACGCACGCACACTCAAACGCGCACGCGCGCACGTATTTATACACGCACAGACATGCACATGTGTGCGACTGCGTACGCAAGCACGCAGTGACTCCCAGCGATGGCCTCGTCTAGCTGGCACAGATGCGCAAGCGCATGGACTTGGCATTTCAAATATCAACGAAAAAGCCAGGTTTTTAACCCTTACGTACATTTTGCAAAAAGTATTTAAAAAAACAACAACCCGTATTTGACAGTCTATATGGGAGAGACTTATGAGGACTGTGTACTTTGTACATTTTTCCTTGCCGGAGAGGAATTCACCAAAGATGGCGTGCGAAGGGCTCCGCTCTGCAGGCCGGACTGGGCACGTGGCCGTGTTTTCCATGGGCCCTCGCCAGCAATAAGAGCGAGCGAGAATAATATTTTATCCCCGAGCCCATTTTCAGGTAACGCCCACAAACTCTTGATTCGTTCATGGCGCAGTCGGTGCCACGAGAAACCCAACGCCAGCGGTGGTCACCGCAGCCTCGCTGTGAATCAACACGTGTGGCACCGGTCATCTTCTCAACGATTCATTGAATGTGTGTCCCGACAACTGTGAGCCCCAAAGTCTCAAAGATATAACCAGTGGATAGGTGTGACCTTATGAATAATAAAAGACATTTAAGTCGGTGGTCTCAACCAGTGGGCCCACCCCCACCAACCACGCCGAAGGCTGCGGCCTGGTTAACGTGCAGGAGAAACGTGTGCGGGGAGTACGTTGAGTACGTTGTTGCCACGTTACGGAGACAAACCACCCGCACCTCTCTTCCACCGGAAAATCGAGACTCGCCAGGTTGCTCGTTTGCTGCAGAAGGAGGCACTATCAATTCACGAGCCACTTTCAAAGAATTACACCGGACTCCTGAGGGTCTGAACACCGTTGGCTTATTGCGTCGCTGGCTAATCCCTTTGAGCCGTGTGTAATGCTGATGACCACGCAGCTACTTTCTCCTGAACAAAGCGCAGCAGCCTTGTCACCAATGGATAAGGCTACGATTTTTGCACCAGAGGTCATGGCGGTCACGGAAATTGTGTCAAGTGATATCTTGGAAACGGCTGTAAAAATACGTCAGATTAGGCACTTCTTTTATTTTCTTTTCAAAAATGACGTACGTCGTGGGCTCAAAATAGAAATATGCATCAGGCGATCTCTCTCTGAACCAGGCACCAAGAAGAGGCACCCCACAGTTTGTAATATTTAAATATTTAAAATCAGTTATATCCAAATCGATTTAAAAGGCAATAAAGAAAGAAAATTACTTAAAGCACCCACTTGGTTTAATTATTGTTTAAACTTTTTAATGTTTTTTTACAGTATTTTTTTTATGAAAAACAAATATTTGAGCTAACAATTTTTTTTACTACATTTTTAGGTGGGTCACACTGCCAGCTCTACGAATGAAAAAGTAATAATTCGAGTTGGAATGCCCCACGAGCCGCACCTCTCTAGCAGGGCACAAGGGCGAGGGCAGCGATCTCAGAAGTAGTTCTGTGATATCACTTTCCACGGACCGTTCTCTGACAGCGAGGAATGCGCCGCTGCGTGAGAATCCTGCATGGACATACTGTTCCTTGGTCTCGTAACAGAATGCCGAGGGCCACAATTTCTCATGACATTTCGAAATAGGACAAAATTAGCCATTACTGAAAAAAATTTAAAAAGGAAATCAGTTTTGCCGGTGATACTGGCCCGCTATGAAAAACAATGCACACTGTGCTAATACCACCACCACCAGCGTATCTTGAAGCCAGCGGAAGGTAATAAATAGCGAGAAAAAACATAATATTGACACTCGGCGCAGAAGAGTAGTTATAAATTAAACGCAGGTGAAATAATTTTTCAACTTGCACGCATAACAGTTGATAACAAATGTGGATGGCTTAAATTTTGAGTGCCGCCCTCCATTGCAGTTTTTGAGCTCATGCCACTTCGAGGGCGTCGCCATGTACAAATGCTATGTGACGTTGTCATCGCGAGTACGGTGCCCGAATCAAAAAGTTGGCACGTGAATTAAAGCACGTGCTCTTGCCTTTTTCCTGCACGTGTGCATCCGTGTGCATGTAGATGTGTTTGTGCGCGTGCGTGTCTTTGCGCGCATTTGTGCGCTCGTGTGTGTGTGTGCGTGTCTTTGAGTGGTAGCGCAGTGCCAAGCGTGCTGCGCTTTGAACCTGGTGATCCAAGTTCGATTCCCGCTAATAGACCAAAATCGGTGATGAATATCTGAAACAGTCCTGTGGCTTCCCTCGGTTGACTCAGCCTTTTATGAGTTCCTGGTGTGGTGTGTAAACATCAGCTGTAGGGGGTGGCTGAGTGTGGGGCTGGCCACCCACCATCTCATGTGCCTTGCCGGCCTTCGTCGGTGGTCTCTAAAAGCACTTGCTTCAACAGTCTGTTAAAGGCTATACGGAAGATCTTTGTCTTTGTGTGAGCTTGAATGTGTTTGTGTGTGCATATCGGAGAGTGTATGTGCATGTGTGTTTGCGTGTGAGTGAATGCGTTGGGTGTGTGTTTGCGTGTGAGTGAATGCGTTGGGTGTGTATTTGCGTGTGAGTGAATGCGTTGGGTGTGTGTTTGCTTTGTCTGACAGTTGCAGTTCTCAGTGCCACACAGGATCCGCTCGATGAACCGGCAGAGGACCGAGAGGACACTGTCAGAGATAAATTGTGAGCCCCGCACAGCACAAAACGGGCGAGCAGGCCATTGCTGATGCAGTCGCTTTTGTCCTTATTGCTATTTTCCTTCCTTTTGTGACTTTGGGGACCCAGGTCACGATTTCAAATGAGACTCATCCTGGCCCCGTTGAGGTCTCACCAGGTTAAACAAAGTACACTAGACACTTGTAAGATGCGCCTGTAACCCAACGACTTGGTTGATCATACAAGAATAGGAATAACTTCTGTATAAGACTCCTACATACCAGTGCAGTGAAGTGATTCCAGTAGGTCAACTGAACTGAAAGTAGGTTGATTCATAACAGCTCTTTTGGATGATGCCATGTAATGATCTGGCCTAATTTGTGTCTTATAACCCTCCACCACTCAATGCAGCCAATACAATTAAATTGTCACAGGTTCAAACGTTTAACAAGCCAAAAATTATTGCTCCAGCTCACTGGTAAGTTTAAAAAGTATTCTCACAAACAAATGTATCAACCATTGACTACGTCTCGGCTGATTCACCGAACCACCTTAACTTCACTCTGTTGACAACATTCCCTCACCATCTCTCGCGCGCAGTCGACCGGGTGAAGTTCAACCTCCCACTGCGCAAGGAGACAGAGCCCAACCACGACACGGTAAGTTTGTTTCCCTTCCCCCGCAACTCCAATTGGCGTGATTAGCTCCGTACTCTGGTGCGAAAGAAGTTAAAGATGCACACATACGTACATACAAGCCCACGAGCGTTCGGTTCGTCCTCACTCTCCGCGTGGCACGACGTGTGCTCGGTGGAGTCCGAACATCCCCACCGCGACCGACTTGGGCCGCTCTACGAGCGAAGAGAGTCGGAGCCGCTAGACGTGGTGATGATGGTGGTGTGTGCGTTGGAGAACGGCAGCGGTGGCCCGGCAGGCGCGAGTGGCGAGGGGACGCTGACGGTGACACCTCGCGACCAGCTCTCCCTCGATAGGAAGGCTTTGGTCTCCGTGGCCCTTCACAATACAAACAAATCAACCACCTATGTTACGGGCATTCCACCGTATTCGGGCTGTCTGTGAAGAATGTCCCTTCCGTGACATTCTGAAGCCTCCTTTTTAAATTATTTGCAATATTCACAATTACCATGGCAACAGAGGCGGATCCATTGCCGGATTAAGTTAGTGCGGGTCCTGTAGCAAATGTTATAAAGGGGCCCTAAATTAAACAAAACACAAATATTAAAACACAAATTATTTACTTGCATAGTAAAGTAAGTGTATTTTTTCATTTGCTATATAGCCAGATAATACGACAAATTTATAACCTTAAACATCCAGTAGTTCATAAAAGTTGAAGGCGGTATAGTGCTCTAGTAATAGAGCAAGTGCAGAATCACTGAACCGGAATTGATAGCTTGAAAGCATTTAGCGCGGGGCCCTTGAAAGTGCGGGGCCCGTAGCATATGTAGATATTTTTGCTACTATCATAATCCGACACTGGGTGGACCTAGATACTTACCAGGGGCAGGGGGCGGTCACAATGCTTCAAGCTATTTAAACAGCGCCCTACGTTATAAATAAAAAAACAATTGAATTTGAACTAGCAATTACAAGTAAAATAGCTCATAGTCTCAAGGTGTATCTCAAGAACTCTGTGTACTTACATTCAGTAAGCAGTTAATTTCTTCATAAATGTATATGTCAATATTAATGCCCTTTACTCAGAAGAAACTGGTCATGAATAAAAACACATCTGAAAGAAATACGAAGACAAAGGCCACGTTGTCACAGAAGGGCTTTTACGTCATAAGACTGTAATAGAATCAGAATCTTTATTTAGATTGGAGGAATCTGATGAGATACAGATGTCCAGCAGGGCGTGGGGTCAGCAGATGTGTGCTCCTTTATTAAGAGTGTCCCTACACTGATCATTAAGGATCGATTCTCTCTTTATTGAGGTTTATAAAATAAATACTGCTCCTTGTGGGTAGTCAACAACGGTTGCTCTGTGGAGAGTCTGGACCCCACCATAGGAATGTTTAATTTCCACCCGTGGCAGAGGGCCATCGACAGAGGCGAGTGCCACCCCCTTTCTTGTTGAACAGGAGACATTTTGACCTCCCTCTGCTTCAGCCGTTTTAATTTCAGTTTCATAAACCAAAATATTATTTAAATTCATAGACATTAACCATTTTTCCAATCCCATATTGGTTTATTTGTCAACAAGCTTCATATTTACTTTTTAGATTTACATTTTGTTTGCATCGTCCAGTAGCATGTGAATGTATTTATTATCAAGACGTTCGTCTTCATTATTTTTGTTTTGTCGCCACTGCGGCGGCAGCGCGATGCCGTGCGTGCGTCTGTGTGCGCGGACGATGGGATGCGGCGAGAGTGGACTGCTTTGTGCCAGGGGGGCCGAGTGGCCTTGTTTTTTAAAACCGTCGCAAATGCACTTAGCCGGGACGGCGCTGCGTATTACCCCCTTTTTTTTACAAAATGTGCTCGGTATATATATATATTTTTTTATTTTATTCCCGCCGGTTTATTTTGGGCGCCGCTTGTTTTGTGCGCCGGCACTATCGCGCCGCCCTCGGCGCAGCTTTGCCACAACGCATTTGCTCACAGATTTGTCCGCGCTCGCGTGCGATTATCCAGCTGTCGCGTTGGATCTGGGCACGCGGGCGTAAAATCGGGGCGGCCGACGGTGGGGGGCAGGGGGGACTGTGAGTTTGTGGGGAAGCAGCAGAGTCGAGGCGGTGCTCGCTAGCGGTCTACCGGGGGGGTGGGGGGGGCGGCCCCGTGTCGTGTCTCATCCCAGACGTGGCCCCGAGTGGCAGCCAGGGTAGTGCAAGGCTCAGCGAGGAATTCACCATTAGCTGCACAGCCGATTTCCTTTGTATTACAATGACGGTATCTTCTAATTGTGCTGGCGGCAACACTGTTGCGAGGTGAAGACATCTCCATTCTGAAGATTCGCGGCAAGCAGTGCACCAGCGTGAATTTGGGATGTCACAGAACTCCTTGGGGAGTCCCTTAAGTCGACCTCTCTGGCCACACTGGGGGCACACATTTCGTGTCAATGAAAAGTAAAATTAAATGTGACCTTAGTGATTGGGCTGAAACCCAGAGTCAACACACAGAATTTCAGCAGCGCCGGCTCATTGCCCCGACACCGCAGAAGAGCTCCGGGCTATCACCGAGTTTCTTCAACCAATCACCATTCACGATGACTTAGATCTGAACAAGCACCGTTCCTTGTCACAGAGGCCTATTATGAACTGACATCCATTCGGCGCCATAGAGATCCCCCACCAGGTAGACTCCATGGAGTGAGAACCGACACCTCATCGTCACTGTTTTTGAAAAATCACTCAAGCAGGTGGAGGTGGGGTGGGGGGGGGAGAGTTAGGGGGGAACGGAAAAGGATAGTGAATTTCTACATGATCGTGAGCTTCCTGAAAGTATTTATCACATTGGTAATACATTTTAATTGTGCAATATGTTGTGCAAAAATTGTGGTGTTGTAAGTTTAAAGTAGGATGAGCAGAGACGAAACATGAGTTTGGACAGCCAATTTCTTCCCCGTGTGAACACATTAACGTCAAAAAGGCCACTTTGGAGGTTACATTCAGGTCACGTGACTGGGGGGCATGTCACAAGATATTTATAAAAACCCTTGTCCCCATGTGAACACCTCGCAAAGAAGCGGATAATTTAAATTACACGATTTGACTTTTACGATTGAATGTTTTCATTCCCCCATGTGTGGTTGCAAGAAGGAAACATGGAGTAGTTGCATGAAGGACAGAATGGTCCCTGCCACGCGAATGTGAAACTTCCCCCACTGGCTTAGGACAGCCAATAGAGGTTTGGAACACACGGGAAATAGTAACTACCAACATGCCAACTCGGGTCATCCTCGCAGCAGCTATTGTCTAGCCATCGAACAAAGACAAAGACGGTCACTGCATTGCACGCTTTCAGATGTGCGTTTTGCGGCCGTCTGGAACGCTCTTCCATCCGATATTAGAAAGCCACTGGAGCTATGCACTTTTAAATTTAAATTGAAAACTAATTTCTTGAGAACTGCTTTTTGTGTTTTGTTTGTTGTCCTTCCCCCACACCTCCGATGAGCGTGGTTGGCTACGTACAGTGTGAAAGAAGTTCAACGTACAAACAACATACATATGGATAAACTCTCTCTATCTGCAGATTGATAAATTGTCCAATATGTTTTTGTAGCCTTCTCCACCAGCTTGCCTGCATCCCACCCATGTGTTCGCCCAAACCCAGACTTTGTCCATTCGGTTGTCCCAGGGCCGTGTGCCCACTCGCGGGAGGAATCATTAAGGGGGGGGGGCACCATCACTACCACTTGGGCAATCCGCCATCGTTCTGACCCCACGTCCCCCCGCGTTGTGTTGTGTTTTGTCACGGCAGGACGTGCAGCAAGGGAGCTACGAGTGCGGGCCGCTGTGGGCCCACAACACAGGAGGCGACCTGTGAGTAGTGCCGTGAAGCGTGTACACGCGTGCGTGCGTGTGTACATGCGTGCGCGCGTGCGTACACGCGTGCATACACGCGTGCGTGCATGTGCTAGACGCCCAAGGCTTTGCCCCCCCACCCCCCTGCTACCCGCTCCTAATCCCTGCCCACCCTGTGCCTCTCGCTGTCCCTCCTGCTCGGACCGACCGCGTCCGTCACAGGAGCCTGCTGAGGTCCGTCGAGGAGGAGCTGAAGCAACGGTAACGCACGCACTCTCACGCCACTCGCCCCGCGGAGCCACGCGGGCAGGACCCGGCTAATTGTGGCTGAGTGGAGGCTCCCGAAGGAGGCGGCCGCTGGGCCCAGTGTGGCTCGCCCTGCACACCACCGCTTGCAAATCGAGCGCGTAGGGACAACTGTGACTCCCAAGAGACACTGTGCCCTTGTCAGTGGAACTATATTATTTTCATGATTGGCCTTGTTCAAGATTCAAATTGATATCGTTTTGAATCAGTTTGTGAGGTTGATTTTTTACATGTTCAATAAAAAATTATGGGTAATGTATTTCCAATTGGGCTATTGTATTGTTTAAAGTCACGTGTTTATGGACCACTGGCATTCAGTCCGTGCATAGCCAGCAACAGGAGCAGGTATCACTGCTCGGTGTGAAACGGTACGCTCGGTGTGCGCCCTTCTCAGCACTCGGTGACAAAGGGGAGATCGCCGCCTGCTCTGGCAAATCCCAACGCTCGTTTGTCGTTATCAATGGAATTTACATCACTTGGTTACGGCAGAGCTCGTGCACAATTGGCCACATTCACGGCCCCTAAGGCTGGCTCTGGGCACCGGGCCGACCCAGGTCTTTGTCCCGTGCCCTCCCTCCTCCTCCTCGTGGCGCGCGCGGCAACCCTACGTGCACAAGACTCGTACAGAAACCCCGAGGAGTCCCCATGACCCCGCGGTCCCTCCTCCCCGTCCCGCACGCCTCCCCGATAACCTTCCTCTTCTTCTTGTTCTTCTCCGTCTGGCTGGGGAAGCGGTTCTAGTTGGATGTCGAAGTTAGCAATCCATTTAGTGGCTCACAGTGCTGCCATCGCGAATGGTTATCATGCCTTCCTCCGAGGCTCTCACCTACCTTCTTCGTTGCGATGAGGGGCCACTGGACACAGTCTCCTGTGGTTATTCCAATTGCTTTTCAACTATGCCTGCTGCTATCGGACGAAATATTATTAAATAAAAAAATATGCAACTACATTTGCCACTTATTTGTAATTTTAATGATCACACGTGCCCCATAAAATCTTCTACGTCACAGTATTCGGTTTGATAAAACAAATTCTCAAAATTCAGATTTTGTTGTCCATCCCTTTGCAACAGTGGAACAACTGAAGCCACCTTTAACCCGCTTAGAACGGTAATCCACGCGTCTTCTGCACTGTATGTAGAGTGTTAGGTATTTGTAGTCCATCACCCGCTTGGCAATGACATTAGCCTCCCAGACGCAGCGGTAACCCCAGTCGGGGCTCTGAGCAAACAGCGCTCTCCAGTGGACACGTGGGGAGCTCCACGCGACCGGCCAGGGCGACTGCTACCCCCCACAAACGATGCTCGCCAAAAGTTTTCCCCCAGCGCAGTTAAAGCATGAAGCAGTTTACAGCCATAAGCGCTGGATGAATATCCTGCGGATGACATGCATGCACCCCCAATGGCCTCGTCAGCATGCGTATGACCATGATAGACAGAATATTAATGCGGCGATATTAATCGACTTGCTTTATGGATAATGTCTGAATTGCAGACGAATACCACTGCAGCCATGAAAAGTAAATGAATAGTTAACCTCACGTGTTACCTTACTTTTGATCTTGTCGGTCACTTAGTTGCCAGCACAAAACCTTAGCGAATTGTCACACTGCACTTTGTCGCCTGGGATAATTTCCCCCTCACGTAACGGCACCCTGGAAGAGACAACACAGACTCGTGCCTCACGGGAATGCCCCATCCCTGAAAGCGGTGTCTCCCTCCCCTCCCGACCTTTAACCTGTCTTGGCTGCCCTCTTCCCTTTCCGTGCTCCCCCCGTCCCCCCTTTTCCTTCTTGCCACTCTTACCTTGCCACTCCTACACACGCGTGCCCCCCGCCGCTACTGCCCCTCGTGCCCTCTCCCCACGTCGGCCTCTCTGTGCCCCCCAGCGGCCACGCGGCTTGGCTAAACGATGACGGAGATGCGAGCCAACAGTGAGTGCCGAGCGTGCGGCCGTGCCACCTCCCATCCCTCAATCTGCTCACCCGGCGTGACCGTCTCCGCCCGACTGATGCACTGGCGTGCGTCCGTGCGTGCGTGCACCGTAGCGTGTCCAGTGCACACACGCAAGTGCACACACACGTGCGCATGTGAATGTGTTTGTGTGTGCATGGTGTTTTTTTGGAACACCCGTTCATTTTGCTTTCCCTTGCTTATCGCTTGCCGCCTCCCCCGTGTTTCGTGTCCTTGCCGGGAGAGCCTCCCTCCTGCAGAGCGTTGATCACGGGGTGCAAACTCGGAGAAATCCACCGGAGCCGAGGCCGGCCCCCACTGCCCCTTGCGCTCGCTCGAAACTCGGCACGCAGGGCAGCATTGCACAAAGCGTGAAATGGACTCGAGATCAAACCTCAAAGTGGCATGAATTTCAGATTCTCTCTGTCGCCAAAAGGGAATGCGGTAGCTGGATGTTGCCTTTGTAGTTAGCTAATCAAGTACGAGAGAGAGTGATTTCCTCTGTTCTAATATATTGTGTATCGTTTGTTTTTGTTTTGCTTCGCCTCAGAAAATATCTCATTAATCCATGTGATGTGCAAGTCGGTACCTGTTACTGATTCTCAAAAAATGATTGGTAGCTCTGTGCATGCTTTCACCTGTTTCCTGCTCCACAATTCTCAATTTCTGCCTCATCATCTCCACCATTGGTGCATTTCTGTTGCTCAATCACCGGCCGCGATGACATTCGCACGTGCGAGCCTGAAGCATCTTCGAGAAGCGCGCTCCACGGATCGGTGCCATTGAACGGTTTTAGGGAAAGTGTTCTTTATTTTTCAAGACTAAATCCGCGTGAACCAAAGGAAATGTTCATTCAAGTAGTTTTTATGTAACTGGCCACAGGCGTACAAGTGACAAACGAAGTCTGTCGCAGTGCTGTAATTCCATCTGAGGTTATATTTAATTGCCCTAAATATATCCAGAGTAATTACATTTACCACTTTAGACTTCATGGTGCCGTGGGCGAAATTATTTAAGCGCTCGAATAATTCATGAAAACTAGAAAAATACTTATAAATATCGTTCGTGAAATGTGGGCAGGGTGACTTGGTAATATATTTTCTAACAGGTGATAAAGTATTCTTATTGTAAGACAATGCATGAAGCGTTAAAGCATCGCATTCTCTCTTGTTTCCCTTTCTCGTCCTCCTCCTGTGTGGCGCCTTCTTAAACTAAAGCATGAGATATCACGATTACTGCAACAGGTAACCTTTTTACTTTTTTTACACAAAGATCAAACATTCGCTCATCGTGGGATGGCGAAAGCCGCGGTCATTTGCGATCGAGAAAAGCTCCACCATTCTAAGTTAACCATGGGCGTGCAACGGTTACTTAAATTTGATGCTTATTCTCAGAATGTCTGCATCGAACTGTACCCCCCAATCAGTTGTCTGCAATTCACGTACGTTGAGTGTCGTTGGTTCACGGAAGCATTTTCCGCCACCGTGGATTCTATGCGCACTGCAAGGGGAGAGCAGCAATGACCAATTCTCGAATTGAATGGTGATTTCAAATTGGGGTGATTCGTAAATTATTTTATTTGTATTATTCCTACACTCGTTTAACCAGGAAAGCCTCGCTGAGTCTCAACACTCTTTATCAGGAGGGTCACTGGCGGAGCCAGTGGGGGGGGGGGGGTGGGTGGTGGTGGCACGTGCCCCCCTAATGATCTGATCGAAATCCCTAATTTCGATCGGATCATTGGGGTTTATTAGTAATAAATCGGCATTTTGCGACCCCCACTGCCACTGTGTAGCATATTATTACGTGCCAGGGACTATATGAGATGATAGGACAATAGTCTGAGTCCATAATTGGCAATAAGTAACGGCACAGAATTGTGCGCAGTTGCGTATACAGTACACGACTTCCCTGAAGGAAAACACCTTCAGTGAGCGCGATGCCGATCACACACGGTTCGAATTCGACCCTCCATCGATGGCTGCGCCATCACCGCACACACGTCGAATAAAAAGCAAGGGATAAGTCCTTACTTACTAACAACTCCTCTATCATTTTTCATTGCTGGAGGGGTTGCCCTCCCTACCTGAAAATCCTGGCTCCGCCATTGAGGAGGGTCCTGCCAGGTTTTCTCAGCAGAGGGTGATGTTGCTGCTGCTGAGTGTAATCCCAATCGAGTAATTTTCAGGTCTGTTTTCAGGATTGGGATGTTTGGTCAACACCGGTGACATTGTGTGTTTGTTTAGCTATAGCAGGAAGCCGGAGAACACGGAGGAAACTCGTGCAGAACAGGGCGAGAACAGGATCCATATTTGTTTGTGGGTTAGGCCTAACCCATTGTATTGGCAATAAAATCTGATGTTTTTAGAGGGAGGACATACGAACTCCACACAGAAAGGCACCCGAGTGGGGAATCGAACCTAGACACTTTTTGCTGTGGGGCACATATTACCACTGCGCCTGCCACCTTGCCACCCAATTCTTTATTTCTCCTATCTGCAGAAGTTACATGCTTTTGCAATTGATACTTATCTGGTTAATTTGTTGTTACCAGCCTCGTGGTACTTACAGCCTTGACACTTTATCAATAAATCGAGTTGAATGCATGGACAGAGTAATTTTTTTTTTTGCTATTTGGATATGGAATTTCCAAAAATTTTCAAAATTGCCAACAAATTACTCCATTGGGAAACGCAGCGCACCATCAGCCCGTCCATGCAAAACTTAGCGGGGCCCTCCGGAAATAGAATCTTGAGACTCAGTGAAGTTTTTTCTGGGTAGATAAAAAATGTTTTTGATCGATTGGTGGATTGATTTTGGTTGTTTTGCTTTCACAGCCCTACAATGAAGGTCACGACTTCCATACAGGTAGAGCAATGTACACCACAGTGGTTCGCATACGGACACACGTGTTTATTGATTCATTTCATCCCAAGACAAATTTGTGACGTGCGCTGACGATGGCTCCCCCTTCCTTGCGCACGTGTTGCCCGGCTCTGTACAGCGTTTAGTGATGCCATCGCATCCCATTGCTATGTGAATATTAATTGTATTGCATGGCTGCAAACTTCAGTTTAGACGTTCATTTACAAATTAATGTAAGCTTTCAGGAGGGTGCCCTCGTGATTGATGCACTCACCTAAGCCACTTGAGCAGTATGGTAATTGCCGAAGTTTGCAGTAAAATGGATGTTAAAGAACCTGTGCTGTCAGCGTTTTTGAGAGGAGATGGCCGTGTAACTACGTGGGACCGTATCATTATAAAAAAAAACGACCTGTGATAATATTTACAAATGAGATAATTTCATAAAAACAATTCGTGTCCTTACTCTACCCGGTGCTTAAAATGTGTATTTTCCCACGTTGCAAAAAGGTATTTTTTCTTTCCCCCCAAAACATCGCCAAGACAACCTTGGTGCTAACAAATGAACTGTGGGCCAGGTCTCCTTGGGGCACGGAGACCCGGTGGGGGGGGCGGGGGGGAAACAAAATCCGTAACGGCTCGGACTGTGGTTGTGCGGGCGAGCAGGCGACGGACGAGAGCAACGTCGTCGTCGTCAAGGAGGAGGAGGAGGGAGACGGTGCCACCCCCGCCCCTCCCGCAGCGCCGGGCCCTCCGCGGGACGAGGCGGCCCTCGGGGCCGGGGCGGCCGGGGCCGAACCCAGGGCCACGTTCCGCCAGTTTTCTCACATGTGGGTGCAGTACCACAACGCCCCTCAGCCCCTGGGTGAGACCTCCCTCCTCCTCCTCCTCTTGCCTGCCAGGCACTGGGTTAGAGGGTCGTTTCAGGTGGCCTACTTGTGGCTCGCGTGGGTGGCATTTGATAGGTGTGAAACGGTTACATTGATTATAATTGAAAGATTGGATCGGTGCCATTGTGTTCGTGGTAGTTGGGGGTGTGCAGTGTGCATGTGGGGAGGTGCGTGCGTACGTGCGTGCTTAATTGAGAGCTCATTAACGGCCTGATACCCTCTGTGGTCTAAGGCTGAATGGGATAGCGTTTACCTCCGTGTTTGTGTGTACGAGTATCTGTGTATGTGCGCACGCGTGTCTGCGTGTGCCCCTGTGAGTGCAGTGGCAGAGATAATTAATGGCGATGAACTCACCGGTCTGCCCGTGATTGAAAACTCAGCCAGCATGGAGGGGCAGCCGCATCTGACTCCTGGTCACAAGGACAAGAAGGACCTCTCAGTAGGTGCCCTTAGTCCCCTGCCTTCCTGACATCCTGACCTCAACTCCTCTTAAATTATGAACACACAGCTGCATTCAAGAGGTCACCAGAGCCGGTGCCGATGATGCCACCCTGCCACCACTTTAATCCTCCGCCAGATTCCTCAGCTGTTGCACCACCTGCCCTTAGAGTCGCATCACCACAATCTGGCTTCGTCTTCCCTTCGGTCACCGACCCCGAGGTGCCCACTCCAGTGCCTGTCTGGGTAGCCTGCCCTCATCCCCACACGTGCCCCATCTATCACAACCTACCTTCCCTGATTACATCTAAAACACTTTCCTACCACATTCTATTCCATTTAGAACTTCCAGTTTGCTCATCCTATCTTGCTGTGCAATTCATACAAAATGATCCGATCTGATCAAGCTAAGCAGGCTTGAGAGTGGATGGCGCTTGGATGAGCGACTACGCTTAATAGGCTGTGGCGTTACGTTGTGGTCAGTGCAGCAACATCCACTGTTCACTGTACTTACATGCTTCCACATCTATGGTCAAATAACCCTCACGACCTGCATGGCGTGAAGAAGCCCTCATCGAGCAGTGGACTGACAAAGGGCTGTATGTGAGCAGCTTAGTCTCCTTCACATGTATATGTGTGTGTGTGTTGAACTTCTTTCGCACCGTAGGTAGCCAACCCTTCTAATCTGTATTCCAACACCACTAGCTGCTCTTCCCATTGCTTCCTTAAAGTCCAGCTCTCTGAACTATAACTCCCAACCCATCTGTTTAGTTTATTTGGGCCTTCTTTGTCTTCGGATTTGTCTATTGTAATTGTAGCAGCGAAGAATGATTTAAAATGCGTGTTACAATAACAAGGTGTTTCATTGTGTTCGTCACGCGCTGTGCAGAGCTGGTGTAACGGACTTCCTCCGACTCCCAAGGTTCACGTGAGTAGCTCCACGTTTCATTTGATTTCACCATTCACTGGCCGGAATGTTCCATCGCGTGACGGTGAGAGGTGGCGACGGCTTAGGCAGGCCTTCATCCAGCAGTGGATTGATCGCGGCTGATGATGATGATTTTTCTTCTATCTGCATGAGGCACCTAGTGTCGTGGAATTCCTGGACATTACCATTATTACATCGTTAAAAGCTTCACAGGGGGAATACAAATTAAGATTTTAAAAAATATTCATATTCTTTGTCGAGAAAAGTCTCACTGAGTCTCAAGACTTGTTTCATGAATGATAATTAATTATTAGATACATGATTCCATGCAAACACGATCAACGTCTGAATATCAACGTCTGCATCCATTTTAACCAATTAATTGTTACATTCCATCATGGGCCATGTTCTCTCCACTGCTGTCTGGATGCCTCATGCCGTCGCCATCCGTCACGGTCCTGCGATGCAGTAATCGATCTAACCCCGGCACATTGAGTGAATCCCATCGCTTCATCTCAGTGTCGGTCATCTTCTCAGACACGTCCCCACCTATGGCTGCCATGCCGCCACCAATGGCAAGCGTTGGCCTAAGCGATGGGTTATCTCTCAGCCCAATTACATATACAGTACAGTATTAACGGTCACTATCATGTCTCTGATATTTATTTTCTGTCTGTTGTGCATGTTTGGCTTTCTCTCTCAACGGAATTCTCAGCATGCTTCTCTCCACGATTGTTTTCAGCTTTGCGTTAAATTTTCTTTGCCTGTCTTAAAGTTTCTCATCCCTGTTCATAGCGAGTAATACGCACTCATTAAAAACGTGCTTCTTCCAGCACACCGGCATTTTGCTTTTCGTTATAAAGTTCAGCTTTCCAAAAAGACTTCGGACTGCTCTCGTCTCGGTCTACCTTCGGTATCCGCCCCAGGACTACGCACGCTTGGATGCGTTTTCTTCAGCTGTGTGCTGTGCCCGTCCGACAGACGTCTCCGTTTGTTGAGTGTGAATCGTCACGTGCACCCCCCCCCCACCCACCGCCGCCGTCTTGCAGATGGGCGCCTGCTTCTCCAAGGTGTTCAACGGGTGTCCCCTCCGCATCAGCTGCGCCACCTCCTGGGTGCACCCCGACACCAGAGGTGAAATCTGCTTGCAGGGGTGCGATGTGTGAGCTAAGACCGTTCTGCTAGGTTACGTTAAATCGGGTGGCTTGTGGTGCGGGGGGGGGGGCGACGTGGCTGGCCTGCAGGGGGCACTGTAGCAACGTTGACGGTTGTGCTGTGAATCTGAGCACTCGGCGGCGATGCTGCCTGCCTTCACCAACCCACACTGACCAACGTGGTGAAGTATGGCAAAATAACTCGGGTGACCCGCACAGCGTTGGGGGAGGCCCTCGTCCAGCAGTGGATTGACAAAGGGCTGTACAGTACATACATTCCACGATGGGGTGCAGTGGTGGAACGGTGGTTTGCATACCATGATATGAAATCTGTGATCTTGGTTAGATTCTTGGCCACGGCTAACATCACGTGGTGTCCGAATTGGTTCTGGGCCCCCCCTTCACCAACCCACACTGACCATCGTGGTGAACTATGGTCGAACAGCCCCGTTGCCGTTCATTTGTTGCCCCGCGTTGCGTACGTACATGCTTGTGTGCGTGCGTGCATGCCGTGTGCTGGCACCCTTGTCTCCTGCAGACCAGCACATCATAATCGGCGCCGAGGAAGGCATCTACACCCTCAACCTCAACGAGTTGCACGAGGCTACAATGGAGCAGGTGAGAATAAGGTAGAGCGAGTGCGGTGGCTGCTAACAGGTGCGGTGGCTGTGGACCAGGTGAGGCTACTATTTGCTTCCTTCCTCAGCACCAGATCTCTTGCAGTCCGTTTGGCTAACTGGCGGATCCTTGTCCCCTGCAGCTCTACCCACGGCGCTGCACCTGGCTCTACGTGTTCAACAATGTGCTCATGGCCATAACCGGTACGGCCGCCAGGGCAGCCCTCGCTCCCCCCAGCGCCGCCATCGCGTGGGCAAACAATAGGGCGAGGGGCACGGTGAGGGGCGAGGGGCACGGGGTGAGGGGCACGGGGTGAGGGATGAGGGGCATGGTGAGGGATGAGGGGCAAGGGGCACGGTGAGGAGTGAGGGGCATGGTGAGGGGTGAGGGGTGAGGGGCATGGTGAGGGGCACGGTGAGGGGTGAGGGGTGAGGGACACTGTGTGGGGCAATGCATCTTGCCCCCACCATAGGAATGAGGAATTTTCACTGCTTGTTCATGGCTGTAAACAGGAGATGACTACCGCCTCAATCCGCATCTTAGCAGGAAATCGCTTGAGGGTGAATTAATATTGTGCTTAGAAAGAGAATCAATATGCTGTGTATGTAGTAACACGTATGAATGGAAAGATTGTAATTTACACCACTGGCTCCTGGCCACCGACTGAGGTGAAGGCTGCCCATTGCTAATTTGCATTGATAAATGCTGTGACCCGATTTAATATGGAATTTAGTTGGAAATTAATATGTTTCTTATAAAAATATGAGAAGAACATACATAATCTGTGCTGGCAGAGATGTGAGCGAACGTGCGTGCGTGTGTTCCGTGCTGCGCCAGGCAAGGCGGGCACGCTCTACTCGCACGCGCTCCTGGGCCTGTTTGAGCAGGCGCGGCGTGAGCAGAAGCTGCCCGACCGCATCCTGCCAAGGTGCGTGTGTGTGCGCGTACACGCACGCACGTTTACACGGGAGAAAAACCCTCCCATAACATTCACCGGCAACCGAGGCGAGTGTTGTTTGCGAGGAGCACCTACAAAAGCCAATGCGGCACAAGGGGGGGTGGTGTGGCAAGTACCAAGCCCGGCCATCATTATCTTCCCGGTGCTCATGTTTACACACTGCATCAGGTACTTACTTAATGCTGAGTCGACCGAGGGGAGGCCGAGGACTGATTCAGATGTTCTTAATTTATGTTGGCCATCAGCGGGAGGGAATGGAACTCGTGTTGCCGGATTCGTGGTGCAGTGCGTTAACCACTACACTACTGCTCCCCACAGAGGCGCACGCACGTGGACTCATGTGCACACAGGCACGCAATTAACAAGCGCACATGTGTAAACACATACGTAAGCATGCACACATGAACGTTCATATGCGCACACATAGACCCATACGCACACATGAACACAGGCACACAAATATCTGGCATCCCCTACGTGTGCCATCTCCGATGGTGATGTTGCTGGCACGCCATCATCTGGCTGCTGTTTCTGTTTATCTCGACGTGTGCTGTGTTGTGGTAGGAGGTTCATGGTCTCCACCAAGATCCCCAACAGCAAGGGATGCTACCGGTGCTGTGTGGGTAAGGCATCTCTTCCTCGTCTCGTTATTTCATTGTTTTCAACTCGGAGGCTTTGTTGGGCTGAGCACCAATTCCTTGGTAAGGTTAGACCAATTCCCTTGCAAAGCAGCGTAGATATCCCACCACCGGCTCAGGGCACCATCTGGACACGTTGAACTTTTAATAACGGTGTCCTGTGTTCTCAGAGGCGGCACGGGTGTCTTGGGGATAAGAGTGCCGAGCCGGCACTGCTGAGGTTCTGGAGTCAAGTCTAGGTTGCTACCCACGGTTAAATCGGGTTCTCAAGTGTTCCAATTTGATGGTCTTGGCCTGGTCCCCGATAAGTCCACAAAAAAACACATGATTTTAGATTTGGTGTTTTACTTCAATTTGGTAAAATTCCAGCCCTGACAATCATGTCTCTGTTTTGGAAATTGTGAGAGTGCAGCCCCCCCCCCCAACCTTGTAGATGCTCGAGGTCATGTGACAGCATCTCTGAAGTAGTTCTGTAAAGTCGCCTTACGCAGGCCGTTCTATAAAAACAGGGGCGATGTTTATCTTCGTGAGCGTTCCGAATGGATACTTTATCTCGTGGTGCTGATTGAGGAACAAAGAAAACAATTACACCACGTCCTTTAGGCAAGATGACCGAGTGTGTGCTTGTATTTTCTCACGCACTCATTTGCGTATGTGCATGTGTGGGTGTCGCCCCCTCTAACATCCCACCAGGGAGACAAAGGCGTTCGGGCGCGGTGCTCGCCACCCACCCCCTCGTGTGCCGTGCTGGCCTTCATAGGTGCTGCTCACTAACAGCACTTGCCCCAAAAGTCTGTAAAGGCTACACGGGGGAATCTTTGTTTTCTTGTGTGTGTGTCGCCCTGTCTGGCCCGTTGCCTGCAGTGCGGAACCCGTACACGGGCTGCAAGTACCTGTGTGCGGCGCTACACACGGGCGTGCTGCTGCTGCTGCAGTGGTACGAGCCGCTCATGAAGTTCATGCTCATCAAGGTGGGCGATGACTCCCGCGCGAGGCGACCCGTCGCTTGCCCTCGCTGCAGATTCCCCCGTCAGAAGCCGCTTTAATGAATCAGAATATTTATATTTATTGGAGGAGGAATCCGAAGAGCTGTGAAGCTCATTTTCACACATTTCCAGGAGGGGCATGGGGCCAGAACGTTATAACAACACACAGTGGAAAGTGTAGGAAAGGTAAACGAATCACTTAAAATATTTGGTATGGCCCACTAAGCTATTAGCTTTTTTTTCAGAAGCAACCTGGCCAGAAATGATAGCTCAATGAAGTGGCTTATCATGTGGAAATGTATAGCAGCAAAACAATATCAATAATCTAAACGTCTGACCAAACTGCCCGGAAATGCGCTCGATCTCGTCAGATCCCGGAAGCTAAGTGAGTTTGAGGTTGGATAGTGCTTGCATGGGTGACCACTGTGCATCACGGGTGTGATAGGGCTTGTGGGGGCCTAGATGGTGAGCAGCATAGGGCACTGCAGCAAAGTCCATTTTCGTAGTGTGATGCTATTCCCTCTCATCTGAGCTCCCCACCATCAGCAACCCACAGTGACCGGCGTGGTGAAGTATGGTCAAACACCCTTACCCAATGACTGACACGGCATGGGGACGCCTTTATCCAATAGTTGATTGATAAATGTCTGTAGAGTATGTTAGGAAGCTAGCGAATGTGGTATTTGTATGTATGTACGTTGAACTGCTTTCACACCATACGTAGCCAATTGGAGGTGCGGGGGAAGGACAACAAACTAAACACAAAAAGCAGTTCTCAAGAAATTAGTTTTCAGGTGCAGCCGTTGCATTTGGACGCGGCACTAACCCACGTTCACGTCGCACTGTACCTTCCCCGTTGATGGTGGCGCCCTGAGCAGCACGTGGATGCGCCCCTACGCAGCCCGCTGGTGCTCTTCGAGATGCTGGTGATGCCGGAGCAGGAGTTCCCTCTGGCGTGCGTGGGGCTGGCGTCGAGCTCCCAGCCGGACCAGGTCGTCTCGTTCCACGCCATCGACCTCAACACGGGCGCCTGCAGCCAAGCTGGTCCTACACGCGCACACGCAGAGACAAAGATCACCCGTATAGCCTCTAACACACTGTTGGGACAAGTGCTGCTAGCGAGCACTTATGAAGGCCTTCATAAGTGCGTGCTAACAACACTGCCCCAATAACACTGTTAAGGATGCATGGGGGATCTGTAGTGGTGATGGTTGACGCATCAGTTCATTAATTCAGCTGTATTCCTATGCTTATGATACGCGTATCAAAGTGTGCACGTTAAAATCGGTTATTGTACGCTCATGTTACATTTAGGCTCATGAAGCAAACAAAAACTGTGAAATTAGATGAGAAACTGTATAAACGGGATGGTAAAATTAAAACCACAAATTCTGACAATTCTGAATCAGTGGGCAGGCAAGGAGGCAAGGGGTGATGAATCATTGTATGCCAAGCTGTCTTGCTGGTGGTTGTGCTGCTGGTGTTATTGATACTGGTGCTGCTGCTGTGGAGGTCCTGGTTATGTTACTGGTTTGATGCTCGTGATAACAATGATGCTGCTGCTGCTGCCGGTGAAAATGATATCGCTGGTGGTGGTGGCACCGGTGGTCTTGATGCTTCTGCCGCTGGTCTCGTGACGCCGCTGGTGTGGCCGTCTCTCCGTAGGGGGACACCCGCTGGAGGCCGTCTACGTGAACCAGCTGGAGAGGGACAGCGTGCTCGTGTGCTTTGACAGTGCGTGTGGCGCCACCGTCTGCACGAACTTGGCACACTCATACATTCCCAACACTTCTCTTGACAAAGCACCTTTTTATCAAGGATCTTAAAGCGTTGTACACGACACAGCAAATTTGAATACATCGTGGGATATTCCTATACTCCAGCACTTATTATTTTGATCATCAATTATTATTTACCAAGGAGGGTCTCAGAGAGTCTCACAGTATTTTTGTGCAGGAGGGTTCCTGCCAAGTTTTCACAGCAGGGGGCGACGATTGCAGTGTTTGCCAATCAAACAATTTGCGATTCCAGATTTGAAGTTTTCGTGACTGCAAGGATTCATACTCTTTGTTTTTTTTTGTAAAGTCACACCGCTTAAGCGGTGTGCTTTCTCTACGTTGTCCCCACCTGAAGAAGGACGCTTGTGTTGCGCCCGAAACGTCGTGATTTAATTTATTTTAATTTTTTACCTACATGACTTTACTGAAACAATTTGCAAGTCATTTTTCACATTTGAGCCTGACGCTGGCACGCGGTGGCCTCCCCTTCTTCAAATGACATCACGGGATATTTAATGGCCACTGTGAGGCGGACGCCGCTTGTTTTAGAGTCACGGCAAACGTCTGCATCTCGCGGCCAACGCGCCGCCACCGGGGAACCACGCCGCCAAACCCACGGCTCGGCTTAGGGGGAGACAGCCATTGTGTTGGCAGCACAGCAAGTGGGTTCGTGCGCCCATCTTTGTGCACCTGTAATGTTATCCCTGTGTGTGAGATGTATCCGCACTTGCAATGTTTCCTCTCCCAAGCAACGCGCTCTTTAAACATTAATTGGCAAACATCCCAATGCGGGGCACTCTTGAAAAATGGTAAGGAGATTCAGTTCATAAATTAAGTTTTACTCCCAAACGTACCGTGTTTGTGCCGTCGTACGTAACTAGGCACACATGCAGCAGCACTCCGCCGTGAACTCGCTGCTGGTCGAGGGCTTGCCCCACATCGTGCGGGTCGTGGCGGCCCTTTGACCATATTTCCTCACGATTGAGGTCACTGCACACACGAGAACCCAATTTAACCACGGACGAGTGACACGGACGCAAACCCAGTGTGTCGGTGGACATGGATAATGATACTTGTCCAAGGCCAGCGACACAGCTGAGCTAGTTTGAGCATGTTGCAGAATCATATTCACTTTCAAATTAATTAATTGTTGAACATTTTATTTTTAGAGAGCGTGAAGATAGTGAATCTTCAGGGCAAGTTGAAGTCCAGCAAGAAGCTGGCCTCTGAGCTGTTCTTCGACTTCCAGATCGAGTCTATCGGTAAGCTACGTCCTTATTGCCAATGATGATAGCAGTTCGTGGTCATTGCAATGTCTTCGAAGGTGAAAGTCCGGAGACAGCACATTGAGAGCGGCCTTCCGTCTGTCTGTACCGTCCGTGGTGTGGCTGCAGTGTGCCTGCAGGACAGCGTGCTGGCATTCTGGAAGCACGGCATGCAGGGACGCAGCTTCCGATCCAACGAGGCGAGTGTAGCATGCACGCTCTCCCGGCAGTCACATGCCCGTCTCACTCCAGCTGCTCGCTGCTACCATTGCTGCTTCTTCACCCGAGTCCACACCTGAGCGATCGGTCACTTGACACTTAGTTGCACCGACCATATCACTTACATGTGGACGTCTCTGCAACCAGTTGCGAGCAGTTGCGCACAACTGGTAGTTGTCAGTAGAAACAGACTCCACTCTGAAGCATCGATCTGCTAAAGAGACTTGTGTAACAAAGTATATCATCACACGTGCACACTTGCGAACTTTGATAGGTTGTTACAATCCTGAATGTGCTGTTTAAATTCCTTGTTGCACAACTGCTCGCCCAGATGTAGACAGAGCGGTTAGAGGTGATCATTCATTTCCGAGATTCGAGAGTCTGCTGGTTGCACAACCATTGACCAGGTTTTAGTTCTTCGCAGCTCCTTCACTCGCGATCTCCCCTCCTCGGTGAGGGATTTATCTGGGCGCAGCGGCTTCCTCCCATAATAAAAAGCTCTCTGGAAGGATTTGGCCAAACATCAGAAACGGGGGGATCGTCTTGTTAACGAGTTTCGTGGCTCAGTCAGGATTTTCTGCGTAAAGGACTGCTATTTATAAATACACCGCGCACATAGATCATGGGAGAGTTGGACCGGTCTTTGGCCGACCTGCTCATTTGAGTTTTTTTTCAGGAGAACGTTTTCTGTCACTGTGCATTTTACTCTTGACGATGAGGACAGATTTCAAACATCGTGATTCGCATTGAAGTCGGCGATCTCGAGCGAGCACGCGTAACGTTTGGCGTTCTGGGTCTCGCGTGTGTGCGGACGCAGGTCACGCAGGAGATCACGGACCGCTCGCGAGTCTTCCGGCTGCTCGGCTCCGAGAGGTGAGAGCACCGGCCCGGGCCGTGCCCGAGCCAGGAGAGAGATACGGACGGGACGGAGGCGTCGCGTAACGAGAGAGATGTACACGAGACGTAAACATGGCGGTTAGAAAAAGAGGAAAGAGAGAGACAGGCACGATACGTATGGGAGAGTTTGATGTCACCTATCTCTGCCTGTCGTGTAGAAATAGAAATTAAGTCATTGTCCCAACAATATCTGAAGGAATGTGCTGTGAAATTCACATGTTTGAATGTATGTGTACCTTAAATCTCGACTGTGTTATGATGAAGATGATTGCATGGTGATGCTGTGCACGTTCTGTACGTCTGTGCGTGCTCTGCGTGCGTGCGTGTTGTTGCTCGCGAGCACTAAGTGCTCGTGCTCGCCCTGTCTGCTCACACTGGCCCTGTGCGTGGCACAGGGTGGTGGTGCTGGAGAGCCGGCCCACGGACAACCCCTCCGTGCACAGCAACCTCTACATCCTGGCGGGCCACGAGAACAGCTACTGACTTCGCCAACGTCACCCTGCTCATCCATGCCCTGCCCTCATCATCCATGCACCCCAGCGAATGGCACGCCCCGGTCCCCATCCGGCGTGCCACCCATGCCGAACTGTGGGGCGGAGGGCGAGTGGTCACCCGTCGGTACGATGCTGCTGCCGAGACGGGCACGCAGCGCCCAAATCTAAGCACGCCAGCTTATTAAAGGCCCGAGCACAGCTCTGGATCCACTCTGGCGATTGGAAGACAGATCTCCGGGTCCTTGCGAGTGACCTCTCAAATGCGGGGGCAACCACGTGTTCCGCTGAGGTTCCTTACCGCCAAGAGAGGGAGGGGGTCCTCCTGCAGCAGACACTTTCTTGCTGTGGTTGCAGTCGTCACGCGTATGCCGGGGTATGTTAACTGCCGTGTAGCAACATGGGACGTGGCCAACACAGCTGTGCTGCTGCTCTCTCATGTTTACTGCCTCGCCCTGGCCAGGATTTAACACACGGCTTGCCTGGCGCACGATGCGCCGAGTTGTGGACGTGGCCTTGGCTCCGACGCAATCCCTGCCAGCGACTCGGTGACCGGCCACGTTCTCTGCTTTTTCTTTTGTTCTGGCGACCATCTCTGTAAGCTGTTCCCTCAAGAATCCGCCACCGACGACAGGAACGGAACAAACCTGCGGAGCCTCGAGGGGCGGCTCCGCGTAGGCGGCGTGTTTTGCGGCTCCCCTGCGGAGAGCGGCGGGGTGGGGGAACGGAGGAGCCGTGCGATGGGACTACGCACGCCTGCTTGTTGCTGCCGGTGTACTCGCCGCAATAACTACGCGCTGTCTGCCGCACGATGGGCGTTAAAGATCCCACGACGTCATTGGTAAAAGTAGGCCATTGTGTACCGGCTTCATTTGCTGATTTTGAAAAATTACTCGCAATTGGAATGTACGTAGTGATTATCCCCCCCCCCCCCATCGCAAAAAAAATAAACTTGGCAGGACCCTCCTGAAAAACAGTGGTGAGACTCAGCGAGGCATTCCTCCGTTACAAAATAGATGCCCCGGTTCGATGGCCATGGTGGGGGTTTGTGCATGTACAAGATACAATGATTTGCCAGTAGTGCCAGCTACAGCGTCTGTGTACACACGCTAGCGTGTGTGCGTGTGTGTATTCAATGAACTGAGAGTCGGAGCTGCATGCGTGCGCGTGAGAGGCTGTGCGTCTGGTCTTGCGTGCGTGTTTGCGTGAGGTCGCTCACCGCCGCATTGCCACAGAGATGCGTTTGCCACAATAGCTGCCCATCGATCAAAACTCTATGCAACTCCTCGTGGGCCTACCCATCCCACCGTTTCATTCATAGCCACACCTGGAGCGCAAGTTTGAACGGCATCGTCAACATCACCGGCATGCCCATTTAGTTTACGTGATGTTTCCGTTTACTTATCGTACCACGAAAACCTTTATAACGTATTGGACGGCTACCCGAAATTTCATTCATCATCATCATCATACATATCCGCCGTTATCTCTACTCTGCTAGAAAACATACCCAAGATAACCTGACTAAAAAATACCCGTGGACAACCACAACTAGATTGGTTAGAGAGAGAGGGTGCTTGGGAACGCTAGGGACTTCAGACCTATATTTAATTTTGAAATGCGTAACATGTACTGGTATTAACTCTGAACGTGAGCGTGCACGCCTGTGCACGAACGTTACGCTCGGCCTCGTAAAGCTAAACACAGCTGGCTGTGTAAATGCTATCGGGGTTGACCGTTTACCCGCACAGACAACAGTTCACATCCGAGCTGGGGTCACGACCCACAGGTGGGCCGTGGCCGTCATCGCAGCACGGTTCTTCACGTGCTGTATTATTCCACCTCGTGCACTCATTTGTTACAAATATGGGTTTCATTTGTCGCAAATGTGCGAGAAAGATCGAGAGTGGTTTGCTGGAAGGAGACTTCCAAATGCCGTATATATATTCTTGTCGGGCATGCGGAGCCTTTGGGCCGCCCTTGTTGAGCACGCCGCTTGGGTCGTGAGCAGTGGCTGCCCTCGGGGAGCGAGCCCCACGTGTCCTAGAGGCGGCCGTGACTGCTGCCTTGTCAGCTGGTACTGCGTCGGCACATCTCGTGGCTCGCGGTGGAGATTGTCGATAACGCAACATGCTTGTGTTCTCAGGCACATCATATGTCAATGTGTTTATTCATAGTCACAGCCACCGATGTATTTGCGCGTTCCTGTATATACACGTAACGCTGTACTGTATTGCGCATATATGTACAACGTTTCGCATTGTCATCACGTACATGGGCTTCAGGTATGTCTTCACCAAAAAGGGTGAGGCTTAGGACTTGAAATGAAATGGCATGCATCGTTAAACGCTGTCCTTAACAAAAAATGATAATTTCCCAGAGAAGCGACTGTCCCTTGTCATCGTTACGGTTTGCTTGGTGCAGCTGTAATTGACGATGGCAATGGACCACACCATTGCGCTCTAACAAATCACACTTTGGGGAGGAACTGATCACAAAAGAGATTTAGTGCCTGAGAATCGAACTCTGCATTTTTAAAGGTCGTGCGAGTATGTGTGTTGTGACTCAGTTTTACCCTACAAGCATGTATTCACATGAGCACTTTCACCAGTTCATTTTCATTTATTTTACATTGGAACAAAACATTTCCCAGGAAAAGTCATAATAATTTTCAAACCTGTCAATCCACTGCTGGATGAAGCAACCCATGCCGTATTAGCCATGAGTATTTTTGTTGACTATACTTCACCAAGCTGGTCAGCACGGGTTGAGGGATTTATGTAATATAACATTTTCCAAATTTTACATTGAATGAGGTATTTTTCCTCAATTTTGACCACGGATTTCTATATTTTGACATTAACGTGCAAGTAGGCCAATGGTAAAAATGACGTGAGAATGTGCTGTAACAACATCACGCGTTTTCACTCTGGGGCATACGGGCCGGTATGCTAGCGTGCATCATCATCGTTCATTAGCAAAATCTTGCTTTTTGTTTGTTCAACCCCAACAGATGTCCGCAAGAAATGTAACAAAAAATTCCGGCAATGTTTTCAGCATTTTCAAACGAAACTCGGACACATCCCGGTGCAATTGTACTGAATAAACGTCTGAAATGCCCCAGTCCACGCGCACAGCGACGCGTGCCGTCGCCTCTCCGTTCGTCAGCGGCCCCCCCCCCCCCCCCACCGTCGTTTGACGGCGGTGGGGCGCCAGTGTTGGGACTCGTGCAGCAGCTGAGTTGTCGGTGTACGGAGACACTTTTGCATGAATTTATCACCCAATGTGTATTTGGGATTTTAGATTTTAATATCGTACTTTCATGTTTTGTATTATCAGTGTCAGTTGCCCGACGTATTGTTTACGACGCTCATTATTATTTAGTGTTGTACTTTTTGGCTGCTGTTGTGAAACTGCCGTCGTTTACAATGTGTTTTGTTACCGCTCAGATGACGTAGTCTTACCACGTCAGTAGCCACACACTGCTTGAGGTTGCACGCGATCATAAATGCTCAACACTTTGGGGACCACTCGCGTCACGCCACAGCATCATAACTACTAGCATCACCCAGGAATGCCTGTCCTTAACGCTCGTGACGTCACTCCACATCGACCAGCCCCCCTCATTAATATTCATGAGCAGGTGACGTCCCCAAAATGGGTACCCCCACCCATCCTCATTAATAATCATGAGCGGGTGACGTCACTCCACATGGGGGGCCGAGGCGCCTCCTCCCCCCTCCTCGGCGTCAACTCACAACCCTCACGACAAAGGCAGAACAACCCTCACGTCACGCGATCTCCGTAGCGCTGTTGAGACATCAAAGTAAAAAGGACGTCACCATGAACAAGGGATTATAACCTTGAAATTAAACAAGTCTGTGTCACCGCGCCCTTACAAGTTACACACGAATTGATGCTTGCAAGTTTCAAATTTACTGCAATACCCCCGTCCTTGGACGGGCAAAAGGCGAGTAGTTGTATTTATTAGCGGTGGAGGATGAACACTCCTTTACCGGAGCCCAATCGTCTGTCTGTCATTTCCTCTGCCGGTTCCCCTGTGAACACCTCTTTGGCGATACCTGTTGAGTACTGATTTTTTTCAGTGAGGTCTGGAGCCCTTCAAATGCCGTACGATTAGCATGTTTGGCTACGTACGGTGCGAAAGAAGTTCGGCATACATACGTACGTGTATCTGTTGAAGCAGCCACCAGAAGTTAGGCAGTATAGCGCAATTAGCTCTGATCAAAACTAACACGTTTCCTAAGTGTAGCCAGGTAGAGATGTGTGGGTAGGTGTTAAGCAGGTAGATCGCTAGGTACGTAGCCTTTATTTAAATCGAGTACGAGTCTGAAGAGATGTTACTTTCGCAAGGGATACCTGGGAAAAGAGAGGTGCCATCTGACAATTCAACCCTCCTCACGAATTGACATGATTAGGGGGTCACTCTTCGATTCAAGAACCGATAACTGTTCGGCATTGTTGTGCATATACAATGCAAAGTACATAGTGAGGCTATGCAGACGCATACCACTCCTTTCGATATCACTTTATGTTAAAGACAAAAATCTGCGGAAGCCGGAGTAGCGCAGAGCACTCGTCTCTGGCAGCAGAGCCAGCCACGAGAATTCCCGGAGTGCTGCCGCAGATTTCTACATTTAAAAAACTCTCGGAGCAGGCCGCGTGACCACCCCGCGTAACGCGTTGTCCGTGTGGCGCTCGGCCAAGTGACCCAGGGCTTGGGTTTGGCGGTTCGTGGGGTCAGCAACTTCGGCCACTTATGTGCAACTGCGCCTGCTGGGTCTCCATGAACCACATTTTAAATGTTTTAAAAGAAATATTTTCTGCACTCAAATTGTCTTGATGTAACCCAGGTCGCCCTTGCAGAAGAGGCACATTTTTGTTTTGTCTTCGTGGGTTTATTTAATCTCCCGGTTAAATAAAGGATGCTGACTGACATACAATATGTATGATTTGGGGGGACATTATTTGTTATAGGTTATAGTTGTGTATCGTAAGCGGAATAATTTATTTTCTGCGATGAATTGTTCCATGCATACATATAGTGAGAGGTAGGTGTAATGGTACTGGACAAAATTGATACAAAAACACGGCTCAATTCACTCAAAACCCGTCAACTTGGTAGACGGCCGCGTGCCCACCGCTACGAGCACCCGGGGCAGCTTGAAGCGCAGTGGCAGAAACCCCATACCCGGTGTTACTGGGGGCATGTGCAATATCCACAGCAAAGTGCCTGACACAGAATGAAGCAACTTCAAAAGGGCTTTTAGTTATACCATGCCTCCAAGACGCTTGGAAAGTAAGTTGGTTTGGCACATGAGCAGCACTGCTCTGCTTTGTGGTTTTTTTTTTATCTCCCATCCTCCAGCCGAGCAACACGTCATAGGTTACACAAAAAGCCACACTCGATGCTTTCACAGAGGCTGCAGGCCAGATCAAACTGTGGACACGCGTGTCCTTTGTTGGGCTTGCGTTGCATTGTGGGGGGCTTTTCCCACAATTCAGTGTGGCCCAAAGGTTTTTGTGCAAAATCTGACATCGTTTTTATATATATTATACATTCATAGCCTTTGGTCATATTTTAATATAATACATGTCTGTTTCACTTCCCATTTAATAACTTTATTTTTCGTAATATCGGAACACATATAAACGTACACCTGTAAATGCATTCAAAATACATCACTTTCGAGTAGCGTTCTGCGTGTTTTAGTTGTACTTTACATACGTTTAAAGTGTTATGTTTGTCGTCTTAAATGCTTACCACATCCAAACACGAATGCATTTTCAGGGTTGAAAAGGCCCGTGCTAAATTACGATGATTAACGTTGCCACTCGGAGATAGTCTGCCCCAGTGCATGGCCACACTCCCACACTCGGTGCTGCAGTCGTGTTGAGTGTCCCATTCGAGGCGAAGCCACAAACAGAATATGAAAATAATGAGAATCAGGTGGAAATGTTCTTGATTTTTAGGTTTGCATTGCGTATGCAGTGGACTGGTTGGCTTGCTTGTCAGCAGTTGCTTGTTAATCATAACATCGCAGATTGTCTCTTTAGTGCAAAGCCCCTATTGGATGCCACTTGCACACAACCTTACACGGTTGACTCGTGTACACTTCAAATTTTAATTAACAGTAACATTACCTTTAACTGTGCGAAACATACCGACTTAAAACAAAGTTGAAACTAAAATCCTGAAGGTACATATAAGGTACATATTAACTGTTCCGGTTGAATAAAACATATTCGGAGGTTGTAGGGCGTGCACGTGTGATACACGCACGGGCGTGTGGTGCTCTTAAAACACATGCACCGAATCACGACTTTGCAGACTGTTACAGATTTACATCTCGGATTCAAGTCAGCAATCTACATTGCATCGTGTTGAACAATAATTCTTGGTGGCACTGTAAACCCTTCACTTTTGTCTAATGGGACTAAAATACTTTGTAACGATGTCATGAAATGCCGTCTGTTGCTGCTGCTACTCATCTGGAACTGAAAAGGCCGGTTGACTACACGTTTTGTTTAATCCTCTTTAGTTACACAAAAAAACTGCGCGATTAAAGCCGAAAGAATAAACATCAGTCTGCCGCTCGCCTCTTTGTTAACCGCAGAATTCCCCGGGAATCCCCCTCGCGCCGCTCGTTCCCCCGCGAGGCTCTGATGGCAGCGAAACCACCGTGCTCTGGGTTCCTCTTTTGGGCGACTTGTGTGACAGCCTCGGTGACCGCACTCCGACCCAGTTGATGGAGAGCCACTTCCTCCAACTTCGTGCCTATACTGTGCCGCTCTCCCTTAGAAAGAGGAGTCCAACTCATGTGATGCCAGAGGGGCAGTATCTGCGGATAGTTGGTGGGGAGAAATCAACTGTTACAACCTTTTATATCGGTTCTCAGTTTTATGGTGGAAATCGGTTGTGGTTTTTTGAACGGGTTCAGTTTCTGGCCACAGTGGAAAGTGCAAATTATATGTAAACCTGTTCTGGACATCCCTTATGTTGGCTTGGCCTAAATTGTGTGTTCTGGTGTGGGTTTGGATATAGTCAGCAAAGGCAATGGAGTGTTTGGTGCTGGCCTTACCACCCTCGTATGCCAAGGTGACTTTAATCGGTGCTCGCTAAAAGCGTGTACTCTGGTAGTGTATAGGTGGTACAATGAGATCTCTTCAAGCTCAACCCAAAAAACAAACAGGACGTGTGTATTCGGATATCGGCTAAGTGTCCTCTGCTGTCCTTTCCAAGTTTGAAGCTTTGATCGTGAGAAGAAAAGAAGTTATGGTCAAGTGCATTAATCACTTCCATATATTGTAATGTCATTGTAGTGACTTCAATAAAGTGCTATCAAAAAGTGCCTCACCATAACTTAAAATTATTTTTTCTCTCTCTAAACGAAGCTTCAAACTCATGTCGGAATAACCTGCAAGAGCCGTTTCTTTTTCGATGGCATCGTCACTTCCCACCAACATTTCTCACTAAACACTTCTCCGCATGAGAGCATTGAGATTTTCCGTACCGACGATGCTGGAGTGCCGGAGCCAGGCACGACCGTTCACGTGGTGCCACTTTCCATGTAGCTGCGCGCGGCACTGTCGCAACGCTGTTGTGGAAAACCACTCGAGGGTTTGTGCTAAATCACGTCCTGTTTGTGCCCTGTGCAGCGAGCGGCTTGGCCGGGTGCACGCTGGACCGCGTGCAACACCCAGTGCGGTGATGATCATCAGTGACGGCGTCACTCTCGGGCACACGCCTTTATTAACGCAGTGCAATGCACAGTCAAACCAACACCCGTGGGAGAGGGAAGAGGTCCGCGCACCAAAACATTATTTGCGCAAAATATAAAAGTATCTCACATGAGAACCCGTCGCGCCAGGGCGAGTGTCAGTTTGTGTGGTTGTACTTTGTTTATAGTAAATCTTGACTTAAAACTTTCGTGACTGCAGGAATTCATATTCTTGGGTCTTTCGGTAAAGTCACGTAGATAGGTTTTACCAAAAGACCCAAGAATATGTATTTGTTTATAGTTGGCCACTTGCCCTGGTTGGAAACGTCTCTGATTAAGGCTTCCTTTGAAGCAGTTCGTTGTGTTATTTGACCTAATTATGCACTGTTAGGTGATCGCCAGTGCACCGTGATGTGCCATCAGCAGGCCATGGTGTCACAGGATTACATGCAGGGCTGACTGGCAGCTGTCTCCAGAAAGCACCTCAATCCCATCTCTGCAGCCCCACACTGATGCCTATTGCATTCTCGAGGGGCCTCCCTTATAACTAGTGCTGTCCTACCAGATTGACCCATCATATGGACGAAGCCCAGCCTTCGAAGAGCTTTCAAAGAGGCCATGGGGCACAGTTCACAGCAGCAGCTTGGCCGATCGCCGCAGCCTAGGCACCGTCCTCTGCGGCGGAGCGCTCGGGAGCGCCGGCGCCCTGGCCTTCGTGGCACTCCGATGCTTCCCCCGCGCCACCTTTGCCGCTACCGCCGTGATCGTGAAGACCCACGAGGCGAGCGCTGGCTTCCCAGAGCTGCCGCGCCAGCTCCTCGTCGTTGGCCTTCGTGCCCGGGTCGACTTGCCGCATCCCGTCGAAGTAGCGGCCCGACACGTCCCCAAGCTCCTCGGACACCGCGAGGTTGATGCTGGGCTGGGCGCCAAGCCGAGGGGAGCGCACCGCAAGCCAGAAGAAGGGGCCTGTCACCACGGCACCGCGGGGCAGAGTGACGGGGCTGCACCATTAACGAATCGTCATCATCATCAACGTTATTGCCATAATTTATGTACTTCTGCATTAGAACCATCGGTTAAAGTGACATTAAAATGTTGTTTCGAAAACCATCTTCATTATGTGCCTTGATTCATGTTTATTGAGATATATTGTCATTTTCAATAGCTTTAATTGCTTGTGTTTAATTCAATAACTGATTTTTTGTTATATGTCATGTGAATGTTTAACTCATAGTGGTTTACTTAAATTAGCCTGCGAAGCACTTTGATGTAATTCTGTAGTAGTGCTGTATAACAGCATTACCATCATTATGAATGTGTAAACGAACCCCTCAATGAGGGTAGCCCCTGCTAAATTACAGACAGATTGACAAGTTCACAAAAACAATGTAATCCACCGCAGTCGAGCAACCGCAAGGCATTTGTGCGATTTAATTAGAAACTGACAATCGGTTGCGATATCCGGGCATACCAAGCACGGAGCTGGAGAAGGCTGACTTGTGCATGCCCGTGTGGCGGCCCAGCGACGTGTTGCAGACTCCTGGGTTCACGCTGTTCGCCGTCACCCCCGTGCCTGCACGGCACACACAACGCGGCACACGCGTCGCTGTTGTGTGCGACATGTGCAACTGGGACTGCAACATGGCAAAGCTCGTGCACCTCCCAACAACACCCACATAACTACACATTCTACGGATAACACTCCCACAATACGAAAATAACATCGGATGTGGCACCGTTGGTGGGCCTGATTTCCACATGACCACTGCAGAGACAGGTCACGACAGCACCTCTTGACTGGCCACAAAAATATACTCAATAATCAGTCCTCCTCAGTGATCGCGAGCAATTTACGACACAAGGCTCAATGTGCAACCTCGCCTCTTGATGAGGGTTGACGATGGAATGCGTTGGGTGCGAGCACGCCGAACAGCGTTCTCCGCCGTGTGTGACACCGAGCGCCAGGGCGCACCTTGCAGCTTGTTGCTGAGCTCCAGCGAGAACAGCACGTTGGCGAGCTTGCTGTCGCAGTACGCCAGCTTGGGGTCATACTTGCGGCGCTCCCAATTGAGGTCGGAGAGGTCGAGGCATGCGGCCACCTGAGCCAGCGAGGACACGGTGACGACGCGGCTCGGGGCCGACGCACGCAGCTTGTCCAGCAGGAGGTTCGTCAGCAGGAAGTGGCCTGTGGTGGCATTGCCCAAAACCAGGCTGTAAAAAATCCCTGATAGACCATCAACAACCCCCATCAAACCACCACAACCGCGACCAGATCACTACAATCCTGGGCACCATAACTCTGTTACAAATCCACACTTTACAGCCATCGTCAGTGGCCTTGACGTCAATTGTCGTTATCCATCATTTTAAGATTAAGATCATCAACACAGGATATGTGCGGAGCCACTGAACCACAAAATGTATTAACTTGATGCTGGGCAACTTTGTACTGTCGATAATCAAATTCCTGGCAGGCACAGTTGGTAAATTTAGGGAATTTATAGGCAATTATGCACTACCACAGCATGTTGTCTGCTGCGATGTGAAATTTTGAGACTTGTTTGCAAGCATTGGCCATTGTGTTTAGAGGTAAAACAAAAAACTGCTTTATTTAGGCTAGAAAGCTGCAAATGAGTATGGAGACAACATTCGCAAGATTTTTTGACAATTGAGTTTTTTTATTTATGGGGGAGGTAATAAAGAGTGTCTAAAGAAATGACACAAATGATCCTTATGACGGTATCCCGGGGTACCAAATAATAAAAAATGGCCGAGGCAATTAAATGTTTTATTTCTGGACACAAATTTTGTCCAGGGGTTTACTTAACTCCGCGACTGGGGTACCAATCAATCCGAAATCATTGCTACTCCACGATGTCGAAACGCAGCGAAGACGATTGCGCTGAAACCTTGAACGCTCGCTGTACGCACCGTAGCGGTGCATCGTGCACAGCTCGTCGAGATGAGTCGATTGCCACATCGCCGACCATCAACAGACTAAAAATGACTGCATCACGGACATTAGGCGAGAGCCGGGGTACTATGGTACCCCGGGGTACCGCCATAAGGTTCATATATTGGGGGCTAACAGTAAAACATGTGTAGGTGTAGGTTGGCAACCTATTTGGCTCTACTGCCAACCACAAGAACCATGCTGCTGTTGCTGCTGCAGCTCACCCAGGTGGTTGACTCCGAACTGCATCTCAAAGCCATCCGCCGTTGTGCTGTGTGGACACCGCATCACGGCCGCGTTGTTGACCAGGATGTGAACGTTTTCCTCGTCTGCGGAGGCGTCGTTACCCACAGTGTTAGTGTAGCAACATGCTGTCCTTTGTCAATCCACTGCTCGACGAAGGCCTCCCGCGCCATGTTGATCATGAGGGCTGTTTTAACATGCTTCTAAACACTGGTTAGTGGGGGTTGGTGAAGGTCAAAGTAATTCACTTCCTCCTCGTGCAAACAAGGTGGAGCCTGCACCGATGATAGAATTTCCATATTCCTCTGCCCCTGGCATATGAATCGCTTTCTACCATTGGCAACTGTGTAGTTTCTGTTCAAACATTTTTTAAATATACTTGACATAACAAGTCTAACTGCTGACACCAAGCCTGACTGCTTGTGGGCCTTGTACTTTTGGTGTAGATGACAATGTTAAATAATGGAGAGCTTCACGGATTTTGAATCCTTTTTTTATGAGAATAATCCTGCTTGGGATTTTGGGTCAGTTCCTGATTGGGAATTTACGCATATGGGAGGAAACTGGAGTGGCATGAGAAAACCCACGCATGCGAGGACAACAGTCCGAAGGTCCACACAGGTGTGTTCGCCATCTCCTTGCTTTCATGCATCCTCTTAAAAATCCACGTTTACCGGGCTGACCGTGACAGGGATTGGAGCGAGCGGTACGGCGTGACGCACCCTGGTTGATGCGCGCCGCGAAGTCTCGCACAGATGCGAGCGAGGCGAGGTCCAGGCGGCGTGCCACCACGCGCGGGTTCAACGTCTCCCCGCGAATCTCCCGCGCCGCATCCTCGCACGCCGCCTCGTCACGGCACGCCAGAATCACCCTCGCCCCTGCACGCACCGCCAGCACGCACGCCCCCCCAAAACCAACCCAACACATGTCAACGTATATCCTTGTTTAATATGGGTGCAGTGGTGTAATGTAATTGGCATGAGTCCTCGTCCAAGGAATAAAATGGTCACCCCTGTCCAAGTTCCAATTTCCCCCTTCTTCGTAGCCCTAAGTCACAGATACAGTTACACCGCCTGTGTGGCTATGAATGCACATCAGTGGAATTATGACTTTAGCAGCAGACTGCAACGTTTACAAGCGTCTGAAACCAGTGAGCAACGAAGCTTGGGTTAGCACCAGCTCGTTCATCCTCTAAATTGTCATGACGACCGGTGTGGCGCAGAGCACACGGCAACTGTGTTGGAGAGCGGTGGGCCGCGACGTGCTGTGATGTGGCAACTGCATCACAACGCCGCACCACGTGCCCATGGTATGTGGCACGTGGTGCGGCACGGCGCCGGAGTGCGTGCGTCGTGACCTCGGCGTGCCAGGTCGAGCGCCGTCTCCTTGCCGAGCCCCGTGTTAGCCCCGGTGACGATTGCCGTCTTGCCCTGCAGCACGGCCTTACTGCTGCAAAGCCCGCCATGCATGGAGTCCCTGCGCACACGGTGGTGGGTATGTAGTGAGTTCAACTGAGCCGCAGACGTACTCTTGGAGGCAACACCAACACACGGGGTGACTGCCCCTTAACAGAATAACAACCTATGGTGGTGACCACCAGGGTAATTACACTAATTACGACGTAACTAGCTACTACGGACCGGGACCACAGCTCGGGTCCAGGTCCACGTGTTGGAACGTAGAACGCAGACGAAGGTTTCTTCAAGATGAACAACGCCGGGTCCCTCTGGGGGACCCGGCTTATATTCTCTGCGGCGTGGCCGGCTCCGCCCTTGGCCACGCCCACCTTCCAGAATCATCTAGAAGCATCTGGACCCCGACCACGTGACCATCCCGAGCCCCCACCTGGGGCCCCTTTGTAGACTTAACCGGTCACGTGTCCTCTCGGGTCAACCAGAGTGCCATGGCCTCTAATAACCTCATTCCTACAGCCGGCACTCCCACACCCTGTCCTGTAGGGGTTGGCACTGCACGCCCCACCCAGCACTATCAACCAGCGCTGACCGAGCCCCTCTAGGGCTGGCACTGCTCAGTGACATCCCGCTATGTCACGACAGGACATGGTGGTGGGCACAGGGTGGTGGGTCACGGTGGTGGGCACAGGGTGGTGGGTACACGGTGGTGGGTACACGGTGGACGAGGACCGGTGAAGGCGTTTTTATCACTGGGATTGTCCAATGAGACCACGGGGCTGAGTTTTATTTTGCTTTAACTATCTCCAAAAATATGAACCTATGTTTTTTTTTTATCTTACCTTGTCCATCCAGGTAATGTCTCAACGGGATATCGCCTGGTTAAATCATTCATTATACTCTTACAATTCGAATTGGTGTCTTGAGACTAACACTGCAAGAGGCTCTGTACAAGGGGAACCGTGCACCTGGGTAGCTTGAAGAAGACAGTGGGGAGGGGGGTCACACCATGGCCACTTACGAATTCCATGCCGTTCCTCGCCTGGCTTTAGGAGGACATTTTCACGACGTGTTTATGTCACAGCGCGCTGAGCAATGAGTTGCCCGAGGCAGTAAAGCAAATAGGTGACCTATCTGTGAGAAGTGTTAAAGAGTTTCCCTCTCCAATGCGTGGGTTTTTTCCGGTCGATGGTTTCAACATCGGACAGTTGTTTGCGTGTTTTTTTTGTTTAAATGCAGTCCTTAAAAATCATCCTATGGGGTAAATTCCTGAGTCCGTGGAGGAAATTCCACATTCTTATGGTGGTGACAAGTTCATCTGAACGATGACCACTGATGACTTCCCGCAAAGTACAGTGCGGGTGGACTTCTACTCACAACCCACTCACTATAAAGTCGCGCTAACATCTGCACAAACTTCGCGTGAACCTGTGACTCGATGTGTAGCGAGTAACCTCGTGCGCTAAACTCAACGCCCGGTCCCACCGCTACGCAGCGCCACGCTGCGCGTCTAATCACCCGGGTACTCACTTTAGCAGCACAAATCCTCCCACCACGCTCCCCACCAGCGACGCGGGCAACAGGTACCGGTTCATGGTCGGGTGTAATGGTTAACCGGTTAGTTGTGATTCACAGGTTCGTTTACTGTCCACTCTCATTAAACCCGCAAGCCTCGATCGCCGCCTGTCATTCAAATCACCCGGCGGCCATGTTACGTAGGGAGGAGCGCCAGGTCAGGCGAGGGAGTGACGTCACCAATGCGTTGTTGGGGGAGGTTCCCTACGTAAGATGGCCGCCGCGGTGACGCTGGGGAACATGACGTCAATCGCCCAGTCGTCACCCACCCCACTGTCGGTGACGTCATTGCACACGAGTCACGTGCGAGTGACCCTGACCTTCCCGTCGGCGTCTACGGGTGGCGGCGCGGGACCCGCCACGGCGATTGTGACGGAGGCGCCGCGTGGAACGTCGCAACATCTTACGACGGGTGAATGGAAACTTTTAACGCCGAATAAAAAACTAAAAAATCGTGCGATGTAATAATAATTCATCGCTCCATGCGGCAGCTGCAGGCATTAGGTTAGCAGGTGCAAGTTGAGCTGATTCCGATTATAACAAACAGCTTTAATCCGTGTGAGTTAAAGATCACTGTGTTGTGTGATTCGCACAGTTGTGGTTTTGGGTAGGAGCAGAGTTGAAGTGGACTGATGATCCCCGTTAAGGGGGGCACTATTCACACCAATATAGCGCGTCAGCGTGTTGAAAGAGGCATGCTTGCAACGTATTACTGAGGGGAAACAGTCGTAAGGAAACATCTAAGACTAAAGGTCACCTCTTAAATCACTCCCCCACCCCAAGTTCAAATTCTGTGAACGCAAAACAAGCCGAGAGATCTGAAGGGGAAACCTCGGAGCTGGCCACACTGCTCACGATGAGATACAAACTCGCCTGGTACACACGGGATACAGACTGACGTGGCTTTATTAGACAATCTCATCCAGGTAACATGAACATACCTTGGCCTTAAACACAACATGGTTCTTCTATTGTGAACATGACCCTCCAAAACATTGTAAATAAATAATAAAGATTCACGCCGTCCTAACAAAATAACCAACAGAGCCAACAAACGTCTCGCCTCCCTCAAAAGTAACATTACACGTATTCATCTGACTCATCATCAAAGCATAACATCACAATCACCGTGTCGTCTACCACCTTGACATCTTTACAAAAACTCCGCGCGCACAATCTCCTCCCAACGTCTGGCAACCCCCAAATACTGTCACATAATAAAAGCCGCCACCACCACCAACGACCACATCATCATCATCGTCGTCGTCTCTCAGACGCCGACCAATCTCCGTCTCCCTCCAAATAAATAAAATAAATCCTCCACCACCTCCACCACCTCCCCCTCCTCCACCACCTCCACCACCGTCGTCATCGTCGTCGTCATCCCGCCCGTCGCATGCGCACTGGGCAGGCGGCGGCAGCGGCAGCAGCAGCAGTCGCGAAGCGGGGCCCGGCGGCCGGCGCTGCTGCTGCTCCTCCTCCTCCTCTTGAACCTTGAACCTCTCCAGCTGCTGCCAAGCCACAACAGTCATCATCATCACCATCACCACCATCATCACCATCACATCGTGACCATCAACACAGACGTCGCCACAGACGTCGCGGGTCCGGCGAGCCGGGGAGGACCCCGCGGCCTGCGCGCTCGGGGGGCTGCGCGACCTTTGCGCCGCCTCTGGCGCCTCCTCCCGCCTCTCTACGAATTCTTTAAATTCGTTTCTTCGTTCGGGGTTCTTTTTGTCCTTTCCGTGTTTTGGTTTGGGGGTCGTGCGAGCACGACACGAAGCGAGGGGGCGAGGGGGAGACACGCGGCGAAGCAGCCTCGTCGCCTGCCGCCACACGCGGCGTGTTTCTACCGCGGGGATCAGGCGGCGCGCAGCACGAGAGGGCGAAGCGGCGTGAGACAGGCGACAGGGGAGAGGCACGGGGGAGAGACTACAGGGTAGAGAGACAGGGGAGAGGGGAGAGACAGACGACAGGGGAGAGAGAGACGGGGTAGAGAGGCTGCCAGGGGGGTGGGCGGCGGCGTGGTTCTCGCGCGGGGTTTGCTGCACCACGCGCAGTCTCCGTGGCGTCTGCCGCGCTGCTGCTGCGGTGAACACCTCGCTACAGGAGGAGGCGGCGGTGGTGGTGGGGTTGGTTGTTGGTGGGGGTTGGTAGTGGTGGTGTTGGTGGGGCTGGTGTTGGTGGGGGTTGGTAGTGGTGGTGGGGTTGGTAGTGGTGGTGTTGGTGGGGCTGGTGTTGGTGGGGGTTGGTAGTAGGGTTGGTGGGTTGGGTGTTGGTAGTGGTGGTGTTGGTGGTGGTGTTGGTAGTAGGGTTGGTGGTTGTTGGTGGGTTGGGGGTTGGTAGTGGTGGTGTTGGTAGTGGTGGTGTTGGTGGTGGTGTTGGTAGTAGGGTTGGTGGTTGTTGGGGTTGGTGGTTCAGCCTCGCTCGGCCGGGACCGCGGCGAACCCGGAGCAGAACTTGGGAAGTCCCAACGCCACGTTTGGGAATCGGCACTGAAGATTCCATAATTAAACCGCAGTAAACATAACTTTGGGAATTGGCCTTAAGAATACGGCAAGGTACACGAGCTTGAAGAATTATCATCGCTGTATTCGAATTCTGGATCTGGATAAAGAATTCGGGAGCCCGTAAATACAAACTCGTCAAAATAAATTGACCTCAGGACTTAGGAACGCGAAGGTTAAAATAATTCTCCCTGAACAAACCACAATATACATCTGCGTTGTTAAACTCAACCTCCAGGTCGAATACATCCTCTTGCAGATCCCCCAAGTACAGCTCGCGATCTGGTTAAACCGAATCGGTGACGACGCCAGACATCAACTTCACGAATCTGGAGCTCACAATCAAGAGTCATTAAAAGTCGAAACCAAATTATCCGCGAACCTCACGGGGACCTCAACAAGCATCGATCCCGCGACACCCCACAACTCCGCCACTGGACTCAGGAGAAGAAGTCTCTGCATTTCGACGTTTCGGGACCTCAACCTCGTGCGCATGTGACCGGCGCCCACGAATCGCCCACGAGGGCCCCCGGTGGAGCGCCCGGGGCCATGGAGGTGGTGGCGGAGGGGGGCACGGCCCCGCCACGTGGAGAGGAGGCCGAGGCAGCAGCCGGCACGGTGCGGTAGAGGCACCCCCAGCGCTCCAGACTCGCCCCCATCGCCGCCTCGCAGCCTCTCGGTGTGACGGCGACGTTTGGTTGTCGCCACTCGTCTTGTCGAGAGAGACGAAGAGAGGTCCCGGAGAAGCGGTGGTGGATGTGCCGAGCGAGGTCTCCTCTGCTGTGCGTGGGCCCGCCGCCGCCGTCAGCCTTCCTCGTGTGGCGTTGAAGACACAACCAACAGGCCTCCTGCAACTACAGTAGCAGCACCATCACTGTCGCCACTGTCGACCTCCACGTGTGTGCGTGCCGGCCAGAGAATCGCCACCAACGCTGCTGGATCTTTACCGTCGGACTAACGCGCTCCATACAGTACAGCACTGTACTACAGCACTGTACTACAGTACACGCCGAGCGCTGGGACGGAGGAGGCAGCGGCAGGGAGAGGCTCTCGCATGTAGAGGCGGGATCAGCCCCGTGTGCCTCGGCGTGTGAGAGTGAGTGAGTGTGTGTGAGTGTGTCTCGGTGTGAGAGTGTGAGTGAGAGTGCTGAGAGAGAGGGGACGAGGCAGGGAGAGGCGCGATGCAGCCAGCCTACGACTTCAGCAGCGACGAGGCGGCCTCGAAATGGCGGGGACTGTTCATCGCGGCCCTGCGCAAGGTGCGGACGCGGCAACACGGCGTCGTGTGGTAGTAGTGGTGGTCCTGTTGTACACTCATGTGTGTGTGTGTACACTGATGTGTGTGTGTGCACTGTGATGTGTGTGTACACTGTGATATGTGTGTACACTGATGTGTGTGTGTGTACACTGTGTGTGTGTACACTGTGTGTGTGTACACTGTGTGTCTACACTGACGTGTGAACACTGTGTGTACACTGTGTGTGTGTACACTGTGTGTGTACACTGTGGTGTGTGTGTACACGGTGTGTGTGGTGTGTACACTGTGATGTGTGTGTGTGTACACTATGTGTCTGTGTACACTATGTGTGTGCGTGCACTGTGTGTGTGTGTGCACTGTGTGTGTCTGTGCACTGTGTGTGTACACTGTGACGTGTGAACACTGTGTGTACGGTGTGGTGTGTGTGTGTACACTGGTGTGTGTGTACACTGTGTGTAGTGTGTACACTGTGTGTAGTGTGTACACTGTGTGTAGTGTGTACACTGTGTGTAGTGTGTACACGGTGTGTGTGTGTACACTGATGTGTCTACACTGTAGTGTGTGTGTGTACGCTGTGACCCGTGTACACTGAAGTTTGGTATACTACAGTTGTGTACACACGGAACCGTATACACGATAGTAACGTGTGTGCACTGATGTCTTTACTGTGGTGTGTGTACACTCTTACGTGCATTGTGCTTCGTTTACACTCGTATGTGTAGTCTGTGATGTGTGCACACTGTTACGTGTGTATTGTGATGTGTGTACATTGTGATGTGTGCACACTGTTACGTGTGTATTGTGATGTGTGTACATTGTGATGTGTGCACACTGTTACGTGTGTATTGCGATGTGTGTACATTGTGATGTGTGCACACTGTTACGTGTGTATTGTGATGTGTGTACACTGATTTGGGTACTGTGATGTGCGTAGTCTATTACACCAATACTTTGATGTGTATTCACAATAATGCGTGTACATAATTGCGTACAGAATGATGGGTGTACACTGCACACTGATGTGCATATGCTGATTTTGTGCGTAGGCTATACGAGGTGTATTATGATGTGCAACTTGATGTGTGTGCACACGTGTGTAGAACGTGATGTGGAGTGGAGAGCTGTTTTCTCGTGCTGTCAACGTGTACGAAGTGGCGCTTAGTGTGCGCTGTGTACCGCAAGACGTGTTATGCAATCTTAGGTGTGTGTTGTTGTTGTTACACTTGCACTGTGTGCCCTTTGATGTGTGCACCGCGTGTGCTTGTGGAGTGTTTGTGATTGCAGTGCTGTACACACCACTCACAGGCGTGTGTCTGTACTCTGATGATACTAGGACCCCATTGTGGCTGCTGTGTGAGTACTGGACTCACAGGGGTCTGTGTACTATGTCGCTCTTGATTCGTGTGGGCTGATGGAACGTGCACTCGGGCACAGAGTCCAACGCACTGCGTGTGCCCCATTCATACGCATCGAGAACGAACATTTTAGTAGCGAGGCTGACTACATGCACTCGTTGCGTGTACTCACTCGTGGGCGTGCGTGTACCGTTGTGAGTGTGACGGCCCTTCGCTGGCGGCTGTGCAGTGACCACAGGCGTATTGCCTGCCACGGCACACGGCACACAGCCCCCCCCCCCCCGTGTGCCCCGTAGGACGGTACAGATTGAACGCGGGACCGTGCTTTCCTGCCGGTGTTGGTAGTGGTGTTGTTGTTGTCGGCGCGTGTGTTGCCTTAGTTTGACATTGGCCGTGTTGGATGTTGCGGTGGTGTCGTATGAGAGTGCCGGCCGTGTCGGTGTGATGTGCTGGTGTGTGCGTGGTGTTGTTGGCGTACGCATTTGAGTGTGTGCCCTGGGCCCCCAGACGTGTCTGTGTGTGTGCTGCGAAGCACAGTTCACGTGCGTGTGTGTGTGCACTGTTGTCAAAGCTCTCCTCTTGGCTGTCACTGATGCTGTACAGTACATGGGTAGTGTTTGTGGCCACGCTGTGTTTGGTCAGTGGCATTGTTTTGTGCTTTGGTGCGTTATGTGCTGCGATTATGCATTGTGGAGTATTTGGCTGCTATACATTTCCACGTAATCAGCCACTTCGCTGAGCTGTCATTTGTGGCCAGGTTGCTTCTGAAAAAGAGCCAGGTAACTCAGTGGGCCTTACCTGGTGAAAAACAACAATATATAGTTTAGCATTCTTGTATGCAGGAGCTGTACGTGTAGTGCGTGTGCAGTGTTGGTGTATCTCGACCGGGCCTGGGCCTTCCCGAGGTTGACTCAGCCTTAATTGAGTTAGTTGGTACGGTGTTAAAACATCAGCAGTGGGGAGACAAAGGCGGCCAGGCGCGGTTTTAGCTACACCACCCCCTCGTGCGCTGTGCTGCACTTGATCAGGCTCGCGAACAGCACCGGTCCCAACAGCTGATGTAGGTAGGCAACGTGGGGGATCTTGGGTCTTCGGGGCATCTCTTGGTGTACACGTGTTTGGTTAGTGTGCATTGCGGTGCGTGCGTGTGTGGTGTGCTGCGTGTGTGGTGCGTGTGTGGTGCATGTGTGGTGCGTGTGTGCTGTGGTGCGTGTGTGCTGTGGTGTGTGGTGTGGTGTGGTGTGGTGCTGTGGTGTGCTGCGTGTGTGTGTGGTGCTGTGCTGCGTGTGTGCACACGTTCCTGGCTGCTGACGCTCGCGGTGTTGGGAGAATGGGCGTTTAGGTATCCGGCATCTCTGGGAGCTCGCCTCACCTGTGCTTGTTAAGTTCTGAACCAGTGCCGGTGAGAACATAGGTTGGAGTCCTGGTCTCCAGTCTGATAACGCCAGAGTTTTAATATGCGGTGAATTTGATGTCCACAACCCAGTGTGGTCACCAATGACGACACTATATATGTGTGGTATAAAATGTGCCTTTTGCCTCTAATTTAGCCGAGCTCTCTATTCTTGAGGATTAATTGGCCTGGCCGACAGCGATAGGCCAAACCACTGGCTTGTCTGCACAGCTGAAGTGGATTTGTAAGATAGTCCCTTGAAGGATATTATTGCGGCACGTGTCTGTTGCTTGTACGAGGATAGCAAGAGCAGCCTGCATTATTAAACACTTTGCTGAGTAGTACATGGACGGTCTGCAGGAAGAATTGGGATACAAATTGTGAAAGGGTGCAATAGCAAATGGAGTAAAACAAACCAAATAAATAAAGAACCGATGAGGAAGAGAGAGTGAGGCAACTACCGCTTGGCAGGGCATGCAGAACGCACGCCGCTGCCACGACCAGACGAACGCGCTCCCATCGTCGCTAGCCTCGTCACTGCTCCCACGAGGAAGACGGCTCGCGTCGTGAGCCGTGGTCCGCAACCTCTGCAAGACCCCCTTCACTCCGCCCGCATGGCTCGTGCGATGTGAGAGATTCCTCGTTGGAAAGCAGCAGGAGAATGTGACCGATGGTCATGTTGCTGGCGATGATTAATCCGCTCGTGGTGCAGGTGACGGGGTGGGTTATTACATTTCAGGACCGTGAGAGCTTGCAGCAGCTTATGTTGGCTTTCATTCCAGCTGTGGATTTATTATGGCTGATGATGATAATCGTTAATGTTGAGTGCCGTAATCATCCATGTATCCCCCTAATCTTCGCGACTATCGTTAAACCTGAGGGTTCTAGCATGCCAGCCCATGGACATCATTGCAACGTGTGCATAGTCTCTGAGTTTTAATTCACAGCATCTTGAAGCACGCTGCCCATCAGTAAGCTTGGAAAGTTGTTGCCGTATGCTGCAAAACAGTGGTCGTGTTTCGTGCCATGCTGCGTATATTAGTGACATGTGTACAACATACTATATATGTGCTGTGCATAAATAGTCTGCCTTATTGGCCAAGTCAGCACTTGTTGAGTGAAAAGTTATAAAAATAACACCCAATATTTCTTCATCTGTTGGGGCTCCCTGAGTAAGACCAGCTGTCCGAAACGTCGACTCTGTTAGCAAAGAGCAAAACGAGTCTTGTTGTTTATTCACTTAAAATACATATATTAATCGCAAGGAAGAAAACCAGCGAAAGCATCCCCAATACATCTTGGACACTTTGCGAGACCAGCACGAGTGTGTGTGTGTGTTCGCGTTGTCACATTACATGCCGAGCGGTGCTCCCATTACAGTCCGTGTGCTCGTGCGGAGCGCCTCGCCGGTGCCAACTCATGCTCGCCAGGCCACGGTGGCTGTAAAGTGGTAAATGTTACAGTCTTGTATTTTTATAGCCGCCATTGTCTGACCCCCCGGCCTTACCTGCACCGTAATGATTTTGGTCGCGCTGCAGCAAGGTGCCTGTGTGCGCGGTACGAAGGATCGCAATCGCGCGTCCGTGTTTGCAAATCGATCGGGGCCAGAAGGGAACCTGTGTGCCCAGGCCCCCGTGGGTTCCAGTGCGTGTCTGGGCGAGCCGGAGTGTAGAATTGGACAGCATCGACGGTGTTCGTTTATGTTGATCTGTTCTACGTCCTTTAGGAGTTTTCTGCATGAAAGCCGAGAGCGCTGCTGGTCGGGTGTGTGCATGTCGTTTCATGACAACAAAAAACACCCAATTCTTACGGCTGCTGGTCTGCAGGAATGCATTTTTCCAGTCGCTTTCACTTTACACAGTGCCATTGCTATACCCTTAGGAACTTGTTTTCAAAAGTAAAATCTAGATGACAATGTTATCTTTGTTTTTGACACGAGAGTTTTAAAATGTATCATTATCTATATCCCATTTGTGTTATTGGGGTCATGTCGTGAAGGGAATAAACGTCTCCCGGAACTCCTCGCAGATAGTACATCGCATAATGCCAGGAAATGTCCATAGCAGGTAACACCGTGCAACCACTTGGCCTGTTGCATCTCCTTGAGTGGGATGCTGGAACGAGATGCGGAGCTTCTGTGCACCCTGTGGAGAGCCGTTCTGTCCATCGTTCACGACAACGAACTGCGGTCCTCAGCATTGGGTTAGGCTCAAGGAAGTAAAAAAGAATCTATTTTATTTGCAGGGGTTTTTT